CGCCGCCGCCCTCCGCGCCCCCGGGCGCCGGCTCGGGCGAGGGGCAGGGGGACTGGCGGTTGAAGGGGTTGAGCGCGCCGAAGGGGGCAAAGCGACTCTGAGGGGGCGGCGGCCGCAGTCGGGGGCCGGAGGAGGAGGAGAAGGGCTCGGCCCAGGGCTCGGCCCAGGCGGCCTGCGCGGGCTGGGGGCCGGCCGTGCCGTCCGCAGGGAAGGAGGCCGGCTCGGGACTGGCCGGATTGGGAGCCGGACAGTCTGCCCAGGAGCAGGGGTAACAATAGAGGGTGGCGTCCGGGGACGGCGAGCAGCTGCAACACAGCAGGGCATTGACATCAGAACCCTTTTCACACGGATAGGGATTCAAATATCACCAACCAATACCTTGACACTATTTATTGTATTCATCTTAAATTTGTGCATTAGAATCTTCTGGTCTGAGTCTTTTCTGCCCAAATATGACTAGATTCTGTTTGCATGTCTTAGTGAAAGCTAATTCTACACCACCTGTCATGCAGTCCGGAGGAGTAGAAAGAGAGGTTTGGTCTCGGGGAGGTGGAGATTTTGGGGAAGCGAGGTGGAACCGGAGGGCTGGGGGCCGGGCTGGAGATGGAGCCTCCTTTGGAGCAGCGAGGGGGGACCGGGGGGGCAATCAAGTAGCGACACTCCTCCCTCACCTACACAAACACACCCACGCGCCACAACAACACCCGGGCATCAGCAGAAAAGTTAACAGTTAAAAGTCGACTCCTCGGGAGGGTTTTACGCCGGTCTGTGTGTGTGTGTGTGTGTGTGTGTGCGTTTGCTTTGGTAAATGTCAAACTTAGTGACCTTTACACCTCAAACAAACTCCCTCTAACACAACGGCTCCACACACACACAAACACACAGGCACACAATTTCTTGGCAGGCTAAATATCAGGGGATGAAGAATGCGGTGTAACAGGGTATAATCCAGTTGCTAAGCAGATGTCTGCACCCACACGGATCTCTCTGGAAGAAAAAAAGTTAAGTAAACAAAAGAATGATAATGCGCCCCTTTCAAACAGCACACTAACATATGAGGGCTCACCAGATGCGGAACGGCTCGGCAACAGAGGCAACTCCAGGATGGACCCTACACTCTGTTCCACCTGTAAAACCTTCTTTTGAGACGGTGTGACTTATGAGCGGCTTACGCCGTGTCATCTAAGCTGAGCGTGAGACGGACGGATAACAAAGACCGGGCTTAGCTCTTTTGCAGACCTGTGCCTCCATAAAAAAAAAGAAAAGAAAAAAGTCACGAGCTAGATGAAATCAACCAAACCCGTTTTTTCCCCCCCTAGTGAGACAATAACCTCCACTCAGAGGAGAAATTGAGTTCATGATACATTGTACTTTTTTGACTTAGCTGCTCTTCATGTTCAGCAGGCTGTATTAATGCTGAGACTTTTTAAAAATGTTATAATATGATAACTTAAATCAACCACTGAAAATGTGTCTCTGTTTTAAATTGACATTAATTAGGATGTAGACATTCTTTCTTTCTTTGTGAGCAAAGTTTTTTGCATGGAGGTCCTCCCACAGAAAAGGACTCGTATTGTACACCTTGATGTGCTGGATTTTAAGTCCTAAACCAATTTAAAAAAAATGTTGCACCCCACAACTATTAAAGCACATCAGTAAAGAAATAGTATTTGTACGCTTGGGGGAAAAAACTGGCATACTGGGCAATAAAAACTGATGAATTAATAAAGTGCACTTCCGTTGATATTAGTCCATCCACTAAAGTAAAAAAAAGTATCTCTGCTTTGTCATTAAACACCATCAGATGAGTTAAACCCTGAATTCCCCCCTTTGTGATAAACTGCCTTTATCAGAGCCGTCCTGTTCAACGGAGCCAGAAGCTGCCTGTTCTGGGGACAGAGGGGGCCCAAAAGCTTGCCTGGGCCCCCGTGTGTCTCAGTTCTCAGTTCTTTTTCTCCCTGTGACACCCAGCTATGCATTTGTGTGTGTCTTACAGCCTCTTACAGCACACTTGTGTGTCAGTGAGGTTTGAGAGCTATGAATAATTCACGCCATGCGTTCCCTTTTGAAAGCCGGATGCTGTTGTGGGCAGATTAGAGCTCTGAGAGACAGAGGGACAGAGGAAGGGACACGAGGGGAAGAGACAGACTCACAGCTTCAGATTTTGGAGGAACAGGTGGAGGCGTAGACACTCTGGTCACCACGGTACCGACGGGGCCGTCCAGTGAGGAAGACGAATGGAAGGATATTAGGTTGGGCTCCTTTCCCAAGCCCTCTGCGTTCTGATTGGTCCAGAGCTCCTCGTAAGGGATCTCCTCACTGGTCCTCATTTCGTCCTGAGTCCACTCGGGGGTCACGTACTCCCTCTCCTCGCCGGGCCCCTCCCCAAGCCGCTCGCCCAGCGAGTCCCTGCAGCGCGGCGCCGGCGGCGGCAGGCCGTCCGAGACCCCGCCCACGTAGCCGCACGCGGAGAGGCGCTGCAGCGCCGGCGCCAGCGGGTCCTGGCCGGCGCCGCAGGGGCGCGCCCGCCGCGGGCTCACGCACTCCTCCGCCACGCACTCCAGCTCCGGCCGCGTCTCCCGCACGGCGCGGGAGTAGGCGTCCGGGTCGAAGGCGTGGCGCAGCAGGAGGCCCTCCAGGGCCGCCGCCGGCGCCGAGGCCTCGGCGGCGTTGAAGCGGGGCATGCAGCGCAGCAGCAGGAAGTGGGAGGGCGACACCTCGGGCCCACGCAGCACCAGGCACAGCACCACCGTCTTGCTCACGATGTTGAGCAGCTTGTAGCGGTGGCCCTCCCGCACGGCGTGGCGGTCGTAGGGGTTCCGGGGCGGCCGCGACGGCACCGACACGTTGACGGGGAGCCGCACCCGCTCGATGATGCTGCGCACCGTGTGCTCGCCTCCCAGCATGCCCTGCTCCAGCGGGGAGCGCGTGCAGAAGCGGCCCCGGCAGCCGAAGGGCAGGCTCACGCTCTGGTTGGTGCGGTGGTTCATGCAGACCAGGCACGGAGTTTTACCTGCACACGCACACAGAGAAAGGCCCCGGGGGTACCGGGGGGGGGGGCATCATGAGGAAAGAAAGCTCCAAAGTTTACAGCAAAATATCCTGACTTCAGCTTTCGCTGAGGATCGCGACCTTTGACCTGCACACTGCAGAACTAAATACGATGTCACATCTAACAGAAACTCAACAAAAAGAGAACATCTGTGCTTTTACATAGTTAGAATTGAGCTATAGTAACTCAATTTATCATTGTATGCTATAACATAATCCATGTAAATTACTGATTGTCTTCCTTTCAGAACTATACTTTTTTCTTTCTTGTCTTCCTTTCAGAACTATACTTTTGTGTTAAACTCTCTGGCTGTGCCCACAGATTCTCTTTGGCTCTCTCTGTTGCAGTAGACGCACGTCTTTAAGGTCAACACACACACACACACACACACTTTGTTACCGCATTCCACTGTCATCTGCATGAATTAGGAGTTGGCCTGTTCACGTCAGAGCTAACTGGCCAGTAACAGTCAGTTATGTCCAGTCTTCTTTTGAAGGCCCAGAAGACAAATATCCATCACACCCCGACTGAGACCCTCAGGGAGCTTTGTCTGTGAGAGCCCAGCGCTGATATACCTGTGACCCAATAACTGTCATATTTGATCTACTCTGGTTTATTCTGAGGTTTCCAACTACAGTTCCTCTTGTGGAGGTGAATCTGCGTGATCTCATGAGCGCATTATTACCTAACGGCCAGAGCTCAGTGGCTGGACCGTGCTTACTTCTGGGGGTCTTTCCCAGGCGCCTCAGCAGCGCGCTGAGTCCCGTCTTTTCCTTTGGAGGTGTGGCACAGAGAAGCTCCGCCTTCCCCATGAGGGACAGCTCATCCCCGGCCTCCAGAGTGAAGCTGTAGGGCTCGCTGTCCTCACTGAATTCCCCTGAGACCACCTGCGGCACACACGGGAGCAGTTAGAGACGGCTGTGAGGCTAAATTAAAAGGCCCTTTGAAGGCGATGATGGACGCTAACCTTTACACTGAAAGTGATTGTCTCCATGACAAAGACCCGGTCGGGAAAAACTCCAGCAACTTCTTCCACGCTGGAGAAAAACTGGATGGGATCCCTGACGTCTCTGTCTTCATCCAACAACTTGAACTTACCTACAGAGAAAATCCGGCCGGTGGAGAGAGAGAGAAAGAGAGAGAGGAGGCTGAGAATGTTTGGTAAATAGGTGAACTAAGGGGGGGGGTGGAGGGTGAGGGAAAGGTGGGAAAATGTAGAAGAAGACGGGAAGAATAGGTGAAAAGGTCCCTAAAGAAACAGATCGTCAGAGGACAGTTTGGACGAGGAGAAAATAAAGACTCCTCGCTGACCTCTGACCTGGCACCAGCTCTGAGCCAATCGACATCCAACGGGGTTGACATGGCAACCAGTAAAGGAACCCCATTCTCACGCTGAGCAGAGACACATCACCATGGAGACACTCACACATACAACTCCTTCTCTTTGACCCTCTCTTTCCCTTTCTCGTCTCCTCCTCTGTCCATGAAACTCCCAGATTCCTGAGTTGTGTCGCTAACAGCTAATAATATTTTTGACCGCGTGCCACTTTTTGATCGTGAAAATAAACAGTCATGGAGCGCGCGACCTCCTCCAAAAATGAGGCTCCCTTTATCACATTTCCCGGCTTATTGGATTGCGGCTGAGTGACTACAACTCTCAATAATCACACTTTTCTGTTCAAGTCAGGGCGTTCGGTTGTGGGGAAAGACCACCAGACAGCCGAACGCGGAGCTCTGACATCCTCACACCAGCTCCACCCTCCTCCTCTCAATTCAAACAGAGCCACCAGGATAAGGAGCTCCCGTACACCAAACAATACAGGCAAGAGCTATTTTTCAACACAACCCCCCCCCCCCCCCCCACCCCTCTAAGAACTGACGAACTGAGGAGGAGCTGAAAAGGAACAATGTTTGCCACCAAACTACAGAGGCAACTCAATCCCGGACAAACATGTAATTTGGGGGATCCAAAATACCGAACGAATACACGAGAACATATCGAGGAGCTGCTGTGCTTTGAACAAAAAGGCCATCAGGCTGAGGTCTAAGGCTTCTGTTCCCACTTCACCAGAGGGACTTTGCCGCCACTTCCTCCCCCCAAAGCGGCAGATGACAACAGATCAGCGGGCTCCTCCGTCATCCCGGCCTCTCGCTGATGGGCCCGAGAAGGATGCGGACAGACGGGGAGGATGAGAAGGAGGGCGGCATCCTGTTGTCCATCCCCAGGGGTAAACCTATATTGCTCTCATCCTAAGCTTTCCACTTCCTGCATGAAGTCATTACGCAGACGTTAGCTCATCTCTGGCGTGGGCCTTCTGTTGCCGGAGTACCTCTTTCTTAAAGACGCACGGAGGTCGTCCTTAAACCGGATGAAAACGAGCTGGCTTTGTCCCATCAGGTTTTTACGTTTTTCTGCAGGTTGAAGCAACTGAAACCTTCGTTTAAAGCTCACAATGTCAACTCAAACAAGAGAAAAAAACACACACATGTAAAACAGGATCCCTGCAGATCACACAAAAGTCTGCGATGGGTAGAAGTTGCACAGTGTGAACCCACAAACAGATCACAAATGTTAAAAGTCGGCATATTCCAGCTTCTGCTATCCTACGTTCTGTCTCCCCTAATGCAGCTCGGCTTAAACTTAAGAACTCTTAAACCCCACAACTGCTCATTTACTTCATACATATTTGCTCCTCGTGTTTCTTTTAAAGAAAAAAATATGCCCAGTACAGACTAGTATTTGCTTCCACCATCAATTTTAAACATCTATAATTACAATGATCTCAGCATCAACCCCCCCCACCTCAACCAAATATCCTCTCTTTCTTCCGAAAAGGAGCCTGAGAGGCGGCAGTGAGGTGACATCAGCACTCCATCAGTGGAGGAAGCATCAGATAGGAGGCATTAAGATCCAGTTACACAGCGAATAATGTGACTGGACTGAGCCTGAACAATGGGATTGCTCAGATGAGCTCCGGTGAGGTCATTCTGGCTAAACTCATTCAGCAGGAAGACCACGAGTCAATGGGCAGGAGGAGTCGGAGGAGGTCACATGGTAGCAGGCTGAACGTATGAATGGAGGTGGGATGAGTGAAGGCTCTGAGATAGAGGCGCTACATCCTTTATGCATCACTCAGCACTAACTAGTTTAAGGTTGTTCAATAATCATATTCTTTACACTGTCTACAATGAAGATGGATTCATTTGCACATTACTGTAACTCTGTGGGTTATTATCAAAAGCGGGAATAAACGCTTTAAAAATTCTCCATTTTTTTAAACTCAGGAAACAATTCCTTTAATCCTGAAAGCCTGTAAAGATTTGGATGGCTTCTTTTGATTTTGACCAGCCCCACGCTGGTCTGACACCTGCTTAGTTCAGCAATAAGATGAGGTGGTATGTATTATTTTTGGACTATGACACATGTTGGAATCGATCTACGCTGTGATTGGTAAATATCTCCCTTTCGGCTTATTTTACGGGTCGTCCGAGGTCTGCTGCGGCCGGTGGATCACATGACGGTCTCCCTTATCAACGCCGTCTTCATTAAATCAGGGGACAAGAGAAGGTCGATCTCGCTCCGATTCTTTGGCCCCGCTTTTATCTTAACTCGTGTTTGCGTGTGGAACGACAATCTAGTTTTCGGGATGGTTTCTGAGCCCGGGCAGAGATTTTAATGCAGCGCCACGTGGCGACGTGAAGGTTGTGGCCATTTCAGGCATGTGGAGATTTCACAGGATCTGAACGAGGTCCAGCGGATGGACGGAGAGCCGGGCCGCTGGCTTCTGCGGGGCCTCCTGACCGCTCTGATGACCGGGGCTGCAGTCCGGACTCTGCGGTGGTTAATCCACTAGTCAAAAGATGTTTCACACCCCCGCTCTTTCCCAAGTGGAGACGTATGAGTCCTGACTTTAGGTTTCCACCATCAGAGAAGATTCTATTCCCAATAGTGCTTCATCTTTTTTTTCTAAAAATGAAGGCTAAACACTTTTTAAAAAAACCTGATTGTAAAAACTGTGCTGGACAGTTTCCGTGATCTTCTCATCGGTTTGTTTGCTTGATGTCCATCAACAAACTCAGAAATGTCTATTGCACAGCCACGCGATGCTTCTACCTCCCTGGAGGTTTAAATAATGAAAAGCATAAGTTAGATAAGGGATCACTTAGAGTTGATTAAGTTGCTGCCTGCTGGACCACATGAATCCTTGCTGTAGCTTTTCCAGTGGAAGACCTTTTTCGGACAAATCGGCTTCCAACAAAACTCTGAAATATTCTCTTTGATTACTTGTGGAATCTAAAACTTCTGCGTGTCGTTTGGCTGAACAGAACAGATTAGAACCGACTGACTTGTGAGAAAGAAAGTAGTTGATATAAAGTGGAAAATCTACCCAGACAGGCTTCGAATGGGAAATATCCAGCATAACGGAGCAGAAGGAATGCTTCAGTGTTAATGGGAACCTTGTTGTGAGTCCAGTGAAATAAAGCCGATGCTGGCAGAGGCCTTTAGAGGACACCAGTAGAAAATAGAATGGAGAGAGAAAAGAAAAACTCCACATAGAAAGGTTCAAACCAACTGGAATTGAGTTTAAACCCAACAACAGCTCCAGTCTCCAGTGAGCAGTTCTGTGCTTTGACGTGCAAATGCCCGGCGACTCGTCACGTTTCTAATCAAATGGTCGAATAAAGAAAATAGAAAATAAAAAACACTTGTTGAGCTAATTCAATGACAGATCTCGGCTAATTTTAAAAGACTTCAACATGAAACACGTTACTCTCTGCTTATCAGTTCCCTGTGACTTTTTCTTGCCATTCTTTCAAAGAAACAGAAAATCCCCACCAAAAATAGAACAAGTGGAATACGCTGACCTTTAGTGTGTGTATCTATTTTCATCCTCAGAGGGAAATTGACATTTTTGGAGATATCAGTATTTTTAGAACATGGACAAAATTCAAACTTTGGACCTGTGACTGAGTTATTTTTGATGAGATTTTCCTCTTTTTGGCGCGCCTGTGTGGACGGTGGTAACGAGTAATCCACACTGGGATGGAGAGGCGAGGCGGCTGTGTGTGTGTGTGTGTGTGTGTGTGTGTGTGTGTGTGTGTGTGTGCTCCCACCCTGGTACTGCAGAGGAATGTCAATCTTGGGTCCGATGACGTAGTGTCCCTCCTCTAAGCTGTGGGCCGTCACTGTGGTCCACTGACGGCAGGAGTGTAACAGCACCACATCCTCCTCCGACAGACCCTCCACACACTCACCTGCAACTCACAAAACACAAACACAACACAAAGAGGGGGTGAGCCAGCAACCCGCACCCCGACGGGTCAAAAGGGGGAAACAAATAAAAGCGGGAGAAGTCATCTTTACTTCGACTGTGAGGAATAAAAGAAAAAAAAAAAGAGGCTCTCACGTGGTTTCTGGATCCTGTGTTCATAATTACCACCATCAACCACCAAGCTAAACACTCATCAGGACTCTGATATGCAGCTGGCAACCTATTATTACACAGCCCTCCCACACACTCCGACTGAACTCTCCGGCTTTCGCAAGAGCTGGATATACAGAGGCATCGATTTCTGCTGACAGCACAGTGGTACAATTCAATCACCAAACACACGCGCACGCACGCACACACACACAGGCAGTTGCTGCTCACTATCCTTTGAGTGTGATACTTATGTTGATGGATGGCTGGATACCGACATGGGCAGAGGAAAAGGTAATATTCAGAGCTGTGCTCGGCCACTTTGGGCCTCACACAGAGCCGTTTGTCTCTGGGTCGGAGCACTCCGGCCAGAGGTGTTAAAGATTTTGCCCTGTGATGAATGGATTCTCGAAAATCATGAGGGAGCAGAAAAAAAATATGAGAAAACCTATACAATATCTTCCCAAATAAAGCATCCTGGTTGCTCTTGATAACTCCCAGGCTCAGAGTTTTCCTTAGGAACCCAGAATTGCTCCATTGGCATGCTCTGGGGTTAACTGGTGTCTGATGAGCATGAAAATTTCCTTTGTAGAGCCCAGTGGAAGTTAATTTAATATCTTGTAGTCTGAAGCCTTCATAATATTGCAGGAAAGTCCCCATCAGATTACATCCTTTCACATACAGGCCACTTAGCTGAAGCCTCTGCGTCTAAATAATCACAGTTGTTGTTTGTTGATGTTAACATAAAAGGGAGGAGAAGAAAAACGCCTCCATGCTGTCATGGGCCCCGTTAAGAAAGAACTAACCCAATCTGGGAAGGCTGCACAAACACCAGGCATCTGTGGGGTGAGATCAGTTAATAAACACCCACGGGTGCAGCCTCCACGCCACGCGCGTGGAGACAGGCGAGGTGCGTAATTTTTCCGGGAGCGTGACAAGATTCGGGTGCGCGCTTTTGTCCACCGAGGCAAGTCGGACATTTGCTCGTTAGTATTCACCACAGTCACCGACAGATTACAGCATTTACATATGAAAGGGGACTGAGCCGCACTCCAGCAGCACAACTGACACTTTGTGGCTTTCTGGGCCTCCTGGACTGGAACAACTTTGGCCGTGACACCCATCGCCGGTTCCCAAAGTAAAGACACCAAGTCTGCTGAAAGAGGGGAATCGTGACGGCAGGAAAAATAAAAAAAACAGATCATTTGAAAATGCAAACAAAGTAACGAATCAAAATGTGTTTAAGGAAGTTGACGGAATTGTGTAAAGAAGTCAAATCAGTGCATGGATTTAGACGCAACAGGAGCAGCAAGGTAGACACATTTAACCGGATCGTTACCGGAAGTAGAGTCAATCACGTTTCAAAATGGTGGCACGAAGCTTGCTTAGAAGGGGAAAAACAAATTCAGTGCCAAGTAGCATTTTCTAAAATATAGGCATGAATTATGCTGAAAAGCAGCATTTTCTGTAAGAAAACGAGTTTATCTCTATAGAGAGTGGGCCTACTTGAACACGTAATTTGAAAAAGCTCAAGCACACTCACTGTCATCCAAAAGAAGAATAGAAAATCAACTAATTTATTATTGCAAAAGTTCTTTAATAAGTATCCAAAACTATCCCTACTTTTCCAAAGTTACATTTGATTTTACCTTAAAGGAATTTGGGAGTTCACATTTCTGAGCTTTAAATGGACTAAACTTTAATAGAATTTAAACAACTTCAATTGTTTCATTTTAAGTTACCATCAACATATAATTTAAGTTGACAGAAGCTACAGTAAAACAATAAAGCTCAAACAGAATTTGCAAAGAAAGAGGTGTGGTAGAAATCTCGCTGCGTATGGGTACCAAAGTAAGGAGAGTTACTTAATTTGTAAAAATGGTTACAAGGTTTAGTAATTTGTCTACTATGTTATACTTTGTAACATATAACATGGTTACAGCCAGTGCTTCTGCTAGTTTTTATCCTCAGTTGATTAGACAAGCTGTGAGGTTTATTTTGAAGAGTAAAACCGGAAACAGTCGTTTAACCCCACGGACATTTACGCTGTTAAAGAAAATCCATATCTAGTTTAATTACTAAATTATCTTTAACAGCCTTGTAAACGTTAATTGTCAAACACTGAATCCGCGCCACAGTAGCTTCTCTCTCTTTCCCAGTCGGTAAAATCATAATTACCGTAACTTCTTTCACAACTTAAGTAAAGCCAAGCGTCAAACTAACAGCTGTCAAATGGCGAAAAGTTATTTTCTTTTTCTTTTTTCCCCTTTCTTTTACAGTCCCCCTAGGGACGGAAGCTCCGCGTAAAGGTTGACTCTTACCGTGGGCCAAACGGACCAGAGTGGGCAGACGGAACTTGCTGACCACCGCGTCCAGCGGCAGTGCCAACGGGCTCCAAGTGATCTCCGACAGGCTCGCCGACAGCTTCTCCATCCTCCCGGGTCATCACGGTACCGGGGATAACGGGGATGGAGAGGGCGAAGGCGGTGGTGTCTGCTGGGACGGTAGCGCTGAAGTGGAGGAAGGTACGGGGGGAGGTGGTGGGATTATGGCAAAGAGTTTCGCCATGTTTGAATGTAGGGGAGAGGGAGGTAGTCACGGTCGGTGCGCGCGAGGGAAGGGGGGGGAGGGAGGTCGCGCGAGCCCTCTCTCGTTGGCTTTCTGTGTGTGTCTCCCGGTTCGTGTCCACCGCTCTGCACGCGCGCGAGACTTTCGAAAACCAAGCCCAACGGGGAATAGGGTCCCCCAGTGTGAGCAGCCAGTGCTAACAGGGTTAGCATGGCGTTCCCCTGCGTCCGTCGAAGGGAGCAGGTGGAGGCACCTGTGGCGGCGGTTAACGGGTTTGGTCCCGTTAGGGCTCGTGCCAGAAGACACGAGGCTAACACAGCTTCAAACCCTCAAAGTCACGATTTAAAGTGTTTGCTTCAATATCAACTAATGGCCAAGAAGGTTGATAAAGATGTAGAATGAGAAGAAAATGCTACCAGTCTCCTGTATTTCTATTTGAAAATATATGAAATTTCAATGTATATAAAAATGACCGATTCTGAGGTATTAGGATGAAATATTTACAATTTGAAATCGTTTTTGGGGTTTGTAACGAAGCGTTTTGAGGGGTCAACTAAAATAGACGATTATATGATAGTCAAACCACTTCATGAGTGAATAAAAAAGAAAAACCTGAAGTTCCTGTTTCCAGATATTGTTTAATTAAATTTTTAAAAACATGTTCTTGCATCACAGTTGTATCTGATAATTAGTCGTTGGACTATTTCCTGTTATAAATAAGTTAAAATGAAGACACCATTTTAATCATTTGAAGACCAGATAGGAAAAGTTTGGATATTATTAAATGTAACACACAATGACTCTTTTTTCTCTTTCTAAAGGTGCCACAAACTGGAAACTACTTGTTTAAACTACTTGAAGTTCAGTAAATTTGATGTCATAGTTTTGTAAATTGTGAATAGATCCTGAAAAGACCAAGATTATGGACAAACAATCCACAAACTCGGGTCATTTTCTGCCTGCAAATACTCCGGACACATTATACACGTTGTGCATATTTTGTTTGATGGAGCTCCATTACATAACCTTGGAACAGACAGCAATTAGACATTCATTACATATGAAGCCTCACAGTGGAAGAAATTCCTAACAGTTTACATACCAGACCAGTACCTCACTGCTTCGGCCCAGAGCAGGAAGCTCATCTCTGTCCCAAGAGAGGAATTTGAACAAACAGGCGACTGAGAGAAAAACCGACAACTCTGAAAAGCATGTTTCAGAGAGACGTTTTACTTAGTTTTTTTCATAGCCTGGTGAATTCTGACTACACGTGTTGATTTGCGTTACTTTGTCGTAGCGTTGGCTGCGTGTCAGGGGGGTTGTGCTGTGTGTATGCACAGACCTGAATTAGTGGCCCTGGCCAGAACTGTCAGCGCTCTCAGCTCATCGAACCAAAATGTACAGAGAGCCACTTATTTGCTATTGATTTTTGCCAACAAACAGTTGTGATGCTACGGGCACTTCAGTGGTTATATAACAGAGTTAACAGTTCAGACCCCTATTGTAGATTCAAACTGGTCTGTGCAAATAAGACGAGCTAATGTGCGCCGGCCGCTTTATCGTCATTAAGATGCCCCGACCCCTCAAACTTTTCCTGGTTTCCCAGAATGAGTAACCACAAGAACGCCCACGCAGCTGTGCAAAGGCTTATTGCTAGTTCACCTAATTAAAATGTAACCCCACACTGCGATTCACTGGTTATAAATATCTCAATGATTTCCCCGATGGAGCAAACAAAAGTATAAATGAGCAAATATTTTGTTAAAAAGGAACAGTTCAGTTGTACAAAGACATTGTCCTCAGCTGCTTTGCTTTTCAGGCCAATTCCTGTGAGCTTGTGGACTCATAACAGTCGTCAGAAGCCGTTAATCAGCCTGGAAATGTTTAACAAATAGAGAAAAATGACGCATCTTTAATTGAGAAAAGGGCCCAAACAGTTGATAATATTTCTATATGCAGCTTTCCTGTGTTCAGTCATTTATCCTGTCATTACCTGATGGTTTCTGTAGAACAAAAATAATCACTGACATATCCAGAGTTAAGGACAATAAATTTATTTGATCCATATTAACAAAAATTCAAATATGAAGCTGGACTTTAGATCGAAGATGTGGGGCATTATATCACAGCAGGTTAGTTAGTCAGCATGGTGGGAAACTCAGTGTGCAGGCTCTGCAAAGAGAGGTAAAAAAAAGTTGTCCAAATGTCTCAGTAACCCTGTACAGCCAAATAAGTACAGATACCAGTTATCTTTATCATAAATAACAACTGTGATCTGTCGGTGACATCTAGAGGCAAACACATGTACCCCCCCAAAAAAGTGACATCTTTGTTTTCTAAAGCATTCATACCCACAGAAACAGGAAAATAATGTTATCTCCACTGAATGAAAGAATAAGTTTGGATATCCGGTGCTGAAGCTAAAGATGCTTTTTACCTCCGTCACCACAGACAGACACACTAGTCATCAGCTTATAGAAATGCTGGGTTAAATGTGCTTAAACTAAGTAAATTGTATAAAGTGATGTTTTAGAGTACTTACTGTCCTTCACAGCCTTCTTGCCTTGAAATGAGAGAGAAAATAATATCAGCTGCATTTCCCCAGACAATCAAAACAGTGCACAGACTAATATTTCTATATTTTTAAAGCTTACAATTTATTAATCTTAAGCAAATCAATGGGATTGAAACTCACCCCCATAGGAAACTTTGTAGTACAGGTATGTCATGATGCCAACTCCAACCCACATCTCTGGGAATGCCTTGGTGTAGTAAGGGCCCATCAAGGCCCACCAATTTGCAAACGCACGTCCAGCCATCTGTGAGTGGAAGCCATAAGACAGTGTCAGAACAAAAGTCCTAATTCACTTAATAGACACAAAAGTTTTTAGGTGCTCTGTCTTTGGTACAAATACTTCTAATGGCTGAAAACGTACAATCTACAGTTCTTCCACATGTAGGATTGTATATATATATATAAAAAAAATAACATACATTTTAGACATCACTCAAGAGCTCATATGCATTACTTGAAGCATTTAACACGTCAGTTGGACTCACAAAGATGTCGTGACCTCAAGCTATATCAGGTTTAGCTAGATCCAAAATGATCCATACAAAAGGTTGAGTTGCATTACTGCTTAGTAACTTCCAGTGACGGTGGGGCAGTCTGTTAACAGTTTGAGTACATCGTTCTTTACTCGATTGGTTACCCTGTAAATAACCATTGCTGCAGGGAATGCTGCTGCTAGCATTCAGACAAGTTAGCACTCAAGCTAACTTGTTGTTAAATTGACCGATTGAACTAAACTTGAGTCAATCCATATAGCTAAATACTACAAGCACTTTCAAGAATATATAAATCATTAGCTATGTTACAAAACTAAGATTTGAAGGCCACCCAATAATTTAAACGTATTCGCTGCTCAACAGCAGCTAACTAGCATTAGCAGAATGCTAACAATTATTCCAGCAAGTATTGACCGCACAACTCTTGGCAAGAAACATTTATTTAGTTTTAAATCAGCGTTTTGTCACGATGAGTGCAGTTATGTTATAACAGAACTTACTTTTCAGAAATGCAAAACGTCACACTTACTTTTCCCTTTGACACGCTGATGTTGGAAGGTCAATGGAGCCGCTCTCGCTAAAACGTCAAAGTCGTGGGAAGGGAAGCTTCTTCTTCTTCGTTTCTAAAGTGTGCAAAGCCGCCTGCGTCGCATGGTCTGCCACGTAGTGGACGTATGTTACATTGCACTTAATATTAGTCCAGCCATCTGTGTGCTCCACCTTGTGGACAGACACTTTTTTTTAACGACTTCTGAATTTTTTTAATGTTTGTTTATGAAATGGTTTACAGAAATAGTTCCTGAAATGATGCAGCCGAATTTTAATGTTTACTGATGGTTGACATGATTGAAAATATATCTAGAATATCTAACTCAGGTAATAATTTTAATAACAAAAGAAAATCTAATTTAAAATTTAATCTAGATCTGTTCCCCCCCAGGCCTTCATAAATGTTTTTGTGTTCAGCAAATGATTGTCGTGCAGGTCCAGGCTGGTTTGAACTGCATGGATGAGGTGTTACAAGTCAGCAACTTTCCATTTGCAGTTCCCTTTGACCCCAAAAAGAGAAAGAAACTCTTACAGAATTTACTTTAATCAGATAATCAGTAGAGTTTGTGGACATGCATTATGACTTTTACGGTGAATTTATTCAGCCTTTAAGTTAGGACAAATTACTACCTGACAAACAGCTATCTATAGGGTCTGGCTTTGCCATAACAAGGGGGGAAGCTGTCCACCAGCTCTGTCTGCTCTCCATAGTGAGGAAATAAATACAACACTGCCACAGCTGTCAAGGGTAAAAATGACATTGTGTAAGAGCCATGCTGCTGATGTCCCCCGGTCTCCTCAGGTCAAACAAAATAAAGACATTCATAAAAAAGGCCTTTGTGTCTGTGATCCTTCCTGTATGAAGATCATTTTTGCTCACAATGATCTCTTAAGTTTCCCTGTTGTTCAGCAGAAAAGTAAAACTCGATTGCAGAAGCTTGAGGTGTGACAATGGTTCACTTTTCCCTTCTGTTCTCTTTTACTGTTGGGGAAAATATCCATTCAAGCAAGGACAAATATTTCCTGAAAACAAGTCAGCGATTTCCCAGTATGCGATTAGTTTTTTTAGCCAAAGGGAATTAAGTTTGTGTGAGAGCCGTCGCCGGTGATTTGAGCTGAAGTCAGCGAGGGCGGGACTTTTCCACTCTTTTCTGCCCTCATGCTCTGATAGGCACGAGGCACCTTGTTTCATTTATGAGCACCTAAAGGCCACATCCTATTTGAAGGCACAACACAAGTGAATCAACCCAGTTGTGCCCACTTTAAAGGACTTAGGAGTGGATCTGCTTCTCTCTGCTCACATTTGGGTGGGTTCTTTATCTTAAAATGCCCCACAGGAGCTGCTGGCTGTGACTGCTGCCCTGCTCCAGGTATGTTGAAGATGTGTGACCAGGCCTTCTATTTTTGTACATCCACATTATGGCAGTGTGTTACTTGCTTTTTATACACAGCAGCTATTCTCCTCTTTGTGCTCTTTATTTGGGTGCTTGCATGTGTGTGCTTGCATGTCTTTGTGTTTGTGGTCATGCGAGGGTGTGTGAGAGCATAGGTGTGTTCCTGTGACTAATGGGGCTGTCTGGTCTTGATTCAGGTTTTTTTTGGCAGGGAATTTTATATATTTTTTTAAAACAGAGAGATGGTTTACTAATCCTAACCTCCCGGACCCTCCTGAGATTCCTTTACAGCTGCGGCTGGAGGCAACATGGCTTCAGGTGGAGCAGGTGGAGCAGGTGAAGACGATGGATGGATTCCACTGGACATTGATAACGTGCACATGCTCCTCCAAGGTCAGACTATTTCTGTGCTTGTAGATGTTGTAACATGTAGTGCTGTGGTGGAGTCCCAACGGCTGCCAGTCTGGGATTTACTCTCCGTCAGATGCAAATTATTGCCACAGACGAGAGAAAAAAACTGCGAGAAAGCTGAATTGTCTTGAAATTTAGATTGATTGTGCAGTGTGTGAATCTTAAATATGCCATCAGCGTTTCTGAATTATCCCGGGAAAGTGGCTGAATGATTGTATAAAAGCATCTGGAGAGAATCTTTATTCGGTGTTGTCATTTTAGTGACTTGTTAATTTAGTTTGATATCCAGAATTAAGACTTTTCTTTGTAACCCAACTGCAGTTGGGCTCTTTTTTTCTTTTAGAGTTTTTCATTTTCTAGCAATAGCACTGTTTTTTTCTTTTGTTTATGACATTTGTAATGTGCAAAACAATGCTTTTTCAGCTGTTGAGTCCACATGCACAAAGAATTCTTTTGTTTATTCTCCGTATTATCTATTTTCTGGTAAAACTGGCTCAGAAAGTTAAACATAAGCCCTCTTTTGTTGTCCCGAGACTTTGACTTTGACAGTAAGTTTCTGCCACCTGGTGAAGGCAGTTCTTTCATAGTTTTGTTAATGAACATCTACCAGCAACAGAAAAAAATCACGTTTTAAAGGAAGCAAAAACCTTGGACGCTCGATAGATATTTCCTACTGTTCCATAGAGGGCTTTTAAGCATGCAGTGTAGAATGATGGTTCTGATATATGTCTGTAAACAAGGTAGAGACCACAGGAGTTTCAGACGTGCATCAAACGTGCACAACTCTGTCTGTGCTTGTATGTCTGTCCTATGTTTTGTAATCATTGTAATTTGACCTAAGGAAGCCAAATCAATTCCTTTTACATCTACAAAGACTGGGATAAGCTTCCCCTGTCAGTTGGACAGGGTGGAGTTTAGCTTCTCCTGTCAGTTGGACAGGGTGGAGTTAAGCTACACCTATGCCAAGGTGTTGCTTGCCTTTGCAGGATCTTAAGTAAACAGCTGAGTCAGTCAAACTAACTCTTGGCCTGTGATACTGTGTTAACAAGGAAGTCTATATACAGAGTCCGAGCCTCTTTGAATCCATCAAACAAAATTAGAAAACTCCCTGAGGGATTAATAAAAGACTCTTTAACTCTTACTGAATTACTTTAACTGAAAAAAACTTCATTTTGTAGCAAGAAGGCAACGTGGTGTATTCATTTTACACAATCCCCCTCACCTTGTGTGCGTTTGGGTCTGTGTGCGTGTTCATTACAGCTGAGAGTGTGTCTCTAAGTATGTAGTGAGTCTCTATGTGTGTGTGTGTATATTTGCGCCTCAGTATCTAAGTCTGTCGCTGCCTTGGAAGCCCTCCCGTCTGGTAGCCAGATCCTGGCCCTTAGCCTTAGCTTTGAGAAGAAGTCTTACACTCCCGGGAAGTTCAGTGGTAACGTAGGAGGAAGTTTCCTGCTGTTTGGGGTGAATGCTTGCAGTAGTCGTCACAAATGGGCGCACTAACTTCTGGCCTTAAGAATGGAGGGTCAAAAAGTTGTCCGTTTTTCTGATGAGGGTGAGTAGTAAAAATCTGCTCTGCGTCTTTAAGGCTTCCATAAAAACTCTTAAATATGATGATCTTTGAGCACGCTCATATCAGGAATAGAGTGATTATTTGAGGGGTTTATGGTAACGCATTTAGCTGGTAGAATTAGGTCCAGATGTCACAGAAATGAACACATTAATGGGGAAAACAGCTTTGGGTTTAAGACTTTTCTCCAGCTGGTGTGTAGATTCTTCACAGCATGCAGCAGCCGTTTAGTGTTTTATCCATATGAACTGAGTTCATGCCAGAAACAAGAAAGCACATTCTACATAACATTTTCTTTTTTTTCTCCTCCAGTTGAGCATGAACAGATTCAGAAGAGGACGTTCACTAACTGGATTAATGCACAGCTTTCCAAGGTATGTGATTAAGTGTTTTTTCAGTCTGAGTAAAAGGAAACAAACTGTTGGCGTCCCATTGGCTGTAAAAGCCACAGCTGTATTGTAAGCCTTTAGTGAATTTTAAAGCGGTACTTCTGCAGCAGGCACAAAGCCAAATGAAATCTGAGTGAGGGCCCTGTGTTTTAAGATAAAGATGCTGTAGTTGTTTTTAAAATCATACCGAAAACTGTCACCTAAACAACAGGAAACAAAGGACAAACTATGAAGTCTGCAGACCCCCTGTTTGTAACATCCCCAATTACAAAAATAAGAAGAAAACTGCTATTTTAACAGGGGATGGAGAAACAAAGATAATTTAAAAGCTTTTTTGAAGCTAGACAGTCCCTATTTTGTAATATTCAGACAAAGAAAAGTGGTATCAAAAGACGTTTAGCCGAACAAAGAAAGAGCAGATGTGCATGACATCATGCTGTGGTTCATCTGTGAACTGTTTGAAGGAGCCCTGTACACGCTGACTCACTGCTCAGGGAGCGGTGGAGCGACTCGTGCTGGATCTCATCGGAAAGAGACCTTGAGCTGCTGACTCTGACCCGATGTCTAAAGATAGTTTTCCTGTGGAGCAGAACAGCACGTAATATGAAGCCACCCAACCCTCATAATCTCATGGCCCAGTGACTGCCCTCCAGCCGCAAAACCACCAGCTCATGAGCAGCCATCTGTTGGACCAATTTGAGTCCACTGACAACCCCAGCGGGAAGCTATCTTTATGTCTCTGGAGGACAATGTAAACTGTGACCAAGAATTGATGGATTTTCAATAAGTTTATCAATTAAAATCATGCCATTATCTAATGAGAGACACCACAATTGTTTCCCACAAATTAAGCTCCCTTTTACACTTGAGATTATTCAAGTTCAAAGAAAAAAAAAATCATCTGTTGCTTCTTTTGTTGCATGACACAAAAAAGTCCAAGAGAACTTCCCATTCTGAGCAAAAAGTGTTGCTCTTATCACCAAATAAAGGGTCTTTATTGTGTTGAGTTGTCTAGATGCAAATCGAATACCTGCAGGTATAAAACACAAAGTTGGCAAAACAGCAAAACGTAGCTTGGAGGATTATTTGGACAACGATAAACAAAGATGAGGCTTTGGCACTGAACAGAGCAATAAGACTTCATTCCGTGGATTGTTTCAGAGATGTCCTCCCTCGTACGTGTCGGACTTATTTGTGGACCTCAAACACGGGTCGCATCTGCTCGACCTGCTGGAGGTGATGAGCGGGCAGTCAATGGTGAGTTACTCACTTTACACCACTGAGTTGATTCCAGATTCCCCCTAAATACCCGGGATGAATCATTAAGTCTGTGAAGACTCAGTTAAAAGAGCTGAAATGTTATGAACTCTTCACAGAAAAGACAAAGAGGTCGGGGGGTTTTCCAGCAGCGGGCTAACATCGAGACAGCTCTGAACTTCCTCAAGAAAAAATCAGTAAGTAACTATTAACAAGAGTCCAGCTTCAATACAGTAAGGCTAAAAACAAGGAGTGTTTTGCCCTTAAAATACATTTTTTGCTTATTATGTGTTTGATTTATCTCTCACTGTTATTTCTGCAGATCAAACTGGTGAACATAAACATACCAGACATCATAGATGGGCGTCCATCCATCATCCTTGGCCTCATATGGACCATTATTCTCCACTGTCATGTGAGTTTCACTGCCAACTCTGTAAAATGCGGCACTTCTATCACTGCCATTGTGGTAAGATGGCTGTTAGAGAAACAAACAAAGGTATCAGTCGTTTTAAATGTTAGTAATTTTTTATGTATGAATAAGGAAAATTGTATGTTCCCTGTTTCTTTCTACTTTTAGATTGAGGAGCTAGCCAGCGCTCTCTCCTTCAGCTCTCGTCATTCCTCCCTGGACTCTTTATCCAGCCTGGACTCCTGGTCCGGCAGTCCGGTCCCAGCCAGCCCCGTCCCCCCGGGTCGGACATCCCCTCTTCACAGACGCTTCCGCATGTCAGCCAAAAAGGCCCTGCTCATGTGGGTCAGGGACCAATGCCAAAAGTAGGTTTCCCAATACTTACTGTCATTCTTCAATAAAAGAATGATGCATATTTATTTAGTAAGTTGTTTTGAGGTTAACCTCTGTTAACAGTTTCATGCAGGGTTGTTCTTTTTGTCTTTTTGGGATTTTCTTTCCATAAGGGAATAAAACACAGGGGTTAAAACTGTTTTTGCGTTTTTCGTGATGTGTGTCTGTCTGTCCAGGGTTCATAGCTCTGTCAGTGTGAAGGACTTTAAGTCCAGCTGGAGAAGCGGAGAGGCCTTCTTGGCCATCCTGTGCTCTCTCAGGCCAGAGCTGGTTGATCTCTCTCTGGTGCCGTCCAGAAGCAACCAGGAGAACCTGGAGGAAGCTTTTCATCTGGCTGAGCAGGAGCTTCACATCCCCCGCCTCCTGGAGCCCCAGGGTGAGGCCGCTGAACTTTTTTATATCACTGATAATGTCAGAGATTTTTTTTTTTTACATAGACATTGTTTCTGGTTTTTTGTTGTTTACTTTCAGATGTTGATGTGAAAGATCCAGAGGAAAAGTCCATAATGACTTATGTGGCCCAGTTTCTGCAGTACTCCAACGACATGCCAGCTCCTGATGACCACCTCCAGGTTAGAAACCGAATTAGCAGTTTCAACATCAGTGTCACATTTTCCAACCTGTTGCTATTGAACACTAGCAAGCACATTAGAACAGCAGATTTCTCTTTGGATAAGACAGCCTTCCTCTGTTCTTCCTCTGCAAACTGCTGTGACATGTACTTGTGAACCTTTTACATCACAGATGAACCAGCTTACTGTTAATTTCTTTTAAAACATGGCTGATAATTACCATGATTGAGTTTTGCCATTTTTTGAAGAAGGCCAAGAATTAAACAATTTTCCTTAAGTGTATTTCTACAGAAATCCCCAGTTTTGTAGTATTTTGTACCCGTGCATCACGTACAGCTTCCCTTTTTCAATCTCCCGAAAATTCCCCCAGTAAGCCAAAGTCATCAACCACCTGTCCTTTCCTCTTCTGACTCTGTTTTTCATGGTGGTGGTGGTGGTAGCTGTTTCCTCTTGTCCAGCCGTCCATATTCCTTCCTGAAAATTTGCCTGCTCACTTCACTCCAGCAATCGCTGTTTCCCCATTACACCAGGTACAAGCTCTTCTGCATGGCGCTGCTTATCAACTTCCATTCGTTTTCAGCCTTTTAGATGTCAAACTATGTAGTTGTGTGCGACTGACGTTTGCTCCATGCAGAAAGCCCATCTCAGCACAGGGTCGGGACATTGTTGAAGAGCTCTAACAGTCTTTTTCACCTGACTCAAAAAACTAAGACCTTTGAGTTTGAAATTTTAGGTTTCTGAGACTGAGCGAGCACAGGAGGTGACGTGCTGGCTGCAACAGGCCTACCAGGAACTGTCCGAGGCATGGGCAGACACAAAGACGTCCAGTTATGCAGAAAAATGTCAGGTAGGGCAAAGCAAAAGGGGTTTAGAGAAGAAAACCTCGTGTCTGTACATGCTTTCTATCGCTGACCGATCGCACATCATCGCTGTGTTTGATGTTCCAGGTGTTCCAAGGCCTCGCCAGCTCCTTCTCCGAGCAGAGGAGACCGGTGATGACCCTCCTCGCTGCCGTAAGACGCTGCCCAGAGCTGAGTCAGGAGCAGCGCAGTCTCAGAGCAGCGTGGGATCAGATGGAGGAAGAGGTAAGGGCAGGAAACGCAGCCTGGTCAAACCTCTGAGTTTAAATATGACTCCATCCCTGTCCGTTACATCCTGTGCATAATTGCAGTTTGTGAAGCTATTTTTCAAATATCATCTCATCTTAATACCTGTTCTTTTTCCAGCATTTGGAGCTTTAAAACTAGAAATGAAGACCAGTCGATTTCTGAGTTCAAAGTAGTCCTTGGCTCCCTCAGGGTCATAAAGAAGTTAAATCAAAGCCTCATAGCCGTTATCTTTTACAGGATGGGTCTTTCAATAATCAATAATATCACATCAATACGAAATTGAAAAAGGGAATTGTGGAAAACTACTTTTAGTTTGTTTATTGTCTTTTACCGGGATGCTTGTGTGTCATTCTCCAGCTCCGAAGGTGTAAAGCAGACTTGGACCAGAGTGTTCCTGCTCCTGTGGACTCTGTTGTTGCGTGGCTGCAGCGAGCGGAGGCCGTGCTAAAAGAGCAGGAAGGGACAACAAAAGACCACACAGATGCTGCCAAAGAAGCAAGAGCTCGACAGGATCACTTACAGGTGAAGTAGATAACAAAGGAGAGAGGAGTTGACTGAGCTATGAATCATATTCTTAACATATTCTTTTCCCAGACACTCATTAAGGAGATGAGCCACTATTGCAAGATCCTTGATGCTTACCACAACACGGATGAATCCGGGAATGTGATAGTGCCTCCGGAAAAGTTTGATGAGATAAAAAACCGGTGTGTGACGGCTTCGCGGCTTTGAAACTTAAGAATTTGTTTCCACTCTGAGCTGGTCAAAAGCATATTAAATGATGCCGTTTTTCGCCCCTGGACTCAGTTTAACCAACATCCGAGTCACGGCCAAATACGAAGGGATCAAGCTGGAATATCGGGAAACCCGCCACACAGTTCTGGACCTGCTGAGACAAATCAGCACCAAAGTGCAGACGTGGAAAGCTCCCTGCAGGTCTCAAGAGTCTGTGCGGGTTCTCCTGCAGGACTGGAGTGTAAGTTTCTCTAAAAGAGTAGGACAAAATGTTTTGCAGAGCACAATCTAAACACAAAACAGTTAGAGCATTGTTAAAGCAAATGGCTTGTCAGGTAAGTAAAAAAAAAAAAGAAACTCTTGAACAATTCTAGATCCAGAGATGTATGATAAGTGATTTTTATTCTTAATTTTTTTTACAAAAGTTCATTTTTAATTTGGTTTGTTGACCAGGAAACTGTCGAGCATCGAGGAATGCTCTTGATTCTGATGGACGCTGTTCAAATCCTGAAGGAGAGGGCGAACATTTACACTAGCAAAGCTTCTCTTGGTAAGAGCCCAAGCTCCATGAAGGAGGAGGTTTCTGTTTGTCCCCATTTCCTCAGATGCATCGACTCCATTTCCGTACACTCCTTCGCAGGTGAAAACTCCCAGCGTGTAACGGGTCAGGTGAGGGACGCAGAGCGGGAAGCTAAACTGGCCACCCAGGCCGTGGCGGCAGCTAAAGGGACGATGGAGAGAGTGGAATCTGCATGGGAGGTGTACAACAAGCGCCTCGCCTCTCTGCAGACATGGCTGCCGCAAGCTCAGCGCTCTGCCGAGGAAATCCAGGTGAGCTGTTGTTACAGTTCGCTATCACATAATGCTTATCAAAACAAGATTGGGATGGACTTCTCTCTATATGGATGCTGCAGGACATGAGCAAGTGTCATGCCCAGTTGAACGAAGCGGGGAACTTTCTTATCGAAGTGACCGAGACTGCAGTCGGCGCCACTCTGGCTGAGCAGCTCAGCAAAGTCAACATGCAGTGGGCTGACTGCATGAGGAAGGCCGTGTTTGTAAGTCTGCTTTTTATTTAGTTTTATTTGTTTTGTTTAGCGTTTTCTACTTAAATGTTGAAATTGTTAACAGATTAAAGAATCGGGACATTGGGTTTTTTGTCTTAGGAAGTGCCATTGGAGCCCAGTGTTGGTGCTGGATGTCTTCAAATGGTACAATCCCTGACCCAGGAGGCCGGTTTGCTCATGAGACAGCCACTGGAGGTGGCTTCAGTCCCACTGAAGGCAAACAGACAGAAACTTCAGGTGAGGAAAAACCTTTAAATAACTGAGCTGGTTGAAAGAACTCAAGAGATGATTATCAATATTTTTTACATTTGCGCTCTTTTTTTAAAATCAGTCATTAAAAAAAAAGATGGAGGAGATGGACGTGCTGTCTCTCACCCTTTCCCTGGACTTCCAAACAAACCAAAAAGAAAAGCTGCAGCAGACTCTTACACAGGTGAACACTGGGATGCAAGAACTGTTTCCCACTGTTTGATTAAACTGATTCTCATGAAGCAAAGAGGCTTAAATCATCGCCCCGTCAGGTCTGCATGTGGAGAATGGTCCAGTTACTGTCTTGTGTTGTAATTTGGGCTCCGTCCGGGTGTTGTGTGTGTATTGCAGGTTTCAGAAGCTGAGCGGATTTGTGGGGAGCTGCAGCGGGCAGCGTCTAAACTGGAAGGACGCCTGGCCGAGCTGGATCATTGGAACACGGATGCCCTGGACTGTTGTGACCAACTACGGGAGAAAGAGTCCAGAGGACACTCTGCCTTAGAATCCACAGCCAAAGTCAGGAAAGCTGACATTTTTTGCAGATTCTAACAACTTTTGAGAAAAAAACAGCGCTTTTAATTGTAAAACAATATGGTTAGAGGCCTTAATATCACAAGTTAGTTTATTCCATTCATAGGTGCTGATCCCCAGAGGTTTGGAACTAGTGCAGCGGGCGGTAACAGAGGGCCAGGATCTGCAGAAACTTGTTTCAGGAATACAGAATGCTTCTCCTCTGAGTTGTCTCAGTACATCCAGTGTGATGAACAGAGTATCAGGATCCGTCTCACACAGCCAGGTCAGTTCAGATCAAATGATAATTCACTGTCATTTGTCAATTACACAGATTTCTGAAAGATATAGATGCATATAATATATTTCTATGTTTTTCAGGATATTCTTGGAAAGTTTAGTTCCTTTGGGTTCAAGCAGCAACTCGGTGGGATTCCTGAGCTGTTTGGGTCTGCTTTTCAGACACAAAAACAGCCAGAGCAAGGATCATATGTTGTAGCCAGAACCAAACATGTAGACCAGATTGGGAATGTCACGCCGAAAGAAAAGGCCCAGAATCCAGCTTACATGTCCCCACAGAGGACTAGAGCTATGCACAGTGCTGCAAGCCAGCAAACGAACACAGAGGAGGACAAGGACACTGTTTTACCCCGTGCTGTAATAAAAATGACCTCTCCGCCTTCAGTTCATCGTATTCAAGCATTTCCTCCAACTGCAAAAGAGGCAAAGTCCGAGCATTCAGTTCAGCTGCAGACAGTTTCTAAATCGCAAAGCAGACCCAAAGCCGCGGCGCAACCAAACCCCCCACAGAGCCAAACACCTCCACAGCCACCGGCCATGGTCAGCAGTGAAGTCCACTCCAAAGCTCAGTCCATGGCGAGGAGCCGGCTGGAGAAAGCCCGGCTTCGTCTGCAGGGACGCATTCAGCAAGCCATAAAGTTGTTTGGTGGCAAAGAGCTTTCAGAGTCCCAAGCCAAGAAGAAACAGGTACATGTTCCAACACTGAATTAGAGAGACAAACAGCTACCTCACTTAGCCTGCCTGAATGTTTTTAACGTGTTTTGTTCTCAGGCTAGAGGTTACCAGAGAATTCGGTCCTAGATCTAAAGTCTAAAGCTCATTGTTGATTCTCGTTGCTAGTACCTTTTTAAGTGCTTGAAATCCGTCCAGACCTGAAATGAAATGTTCAGATTTGGACATATTTGTAGGTCTGTTGTGTTTGCTCTCTCTTGCTATCAGATTTGTTTGTGTATATTTGTCCAGCTGCGTGTGTTTTTGTGCAGAAAGCTTTAAAAATTCTGCAGCCTGCCTTGCTTGAAGAGTTCCTGGGTGCAGTGGAAGGCTTTGGGGCCTTTTGTTCTGGACCCCAGCTCCAGGACTTGATGCTCCTTTCCGATTCAGTCAGAAAGCAGTGGGAGGTATGACAGTAACTGGTCTATCAAGGACCAAATCAAGTGTAATTTAAAATCAAATAAACCAAAAAAACAGAACTTAATCCCTAATAAATCCTAGTGAAATTACATCCTGTCACTCCTGTCGCTTTATTAAACTTTTTTATTTAGAATTTCTAGAAAAAGATCTTACCACCTGACATATATCTTACAAATTTAACTTATAATTTTTCCCAAACTAAGTGTCTGCTTGTTTTATGTCGCACTCAGGATGTATGCAGAGAAATGGCTGGCTTTGTTCTCACCTTGAAATCTAAAATGAGAGAAAGAAAGCATCCCATTTCTTATTTGCAATGTGACATGTGTACTAACACTCTCTACGAGGAAACTGACCAGACAGGCAAAGATTCTTTGCAGCTGCAACAGGTACTTGCACACGTGTGGCCTGGTTTTAGCACCTGAGAGTGCAGCATGGCAGAAGCTGTGATCGAGGGAGTGGATCAAAAACTACTCAAAACCATTTCTGAGTTTCGGAGGTTTGCCTTCTGTCCAGGTTGTCACTGAGGGGGCTGCATCTGCTGAGGAACATATTGAATCCCTCAGAGGGATGTGTGAAACCCTGATGCCAAGCAAATCCTCCTGCCTTGACACACACCAACTGACACAGACAGAAGTGCAGGAAACACAAACCAGGGACACGTCAGGCCTTCCCCAGAGGTGCGACAATCCTTATTCGGCAGTGTTTAATTTTTGGTACATTATTTTTTGAGTGAGTTGGTTCATTAATCTGTTGATTGGATATCAATTCACTGAAGCAATTTACTGGGTGATAAAACTTGAATTTGACAGAAAAATTACAGACAATTACTCCGTATAATAGAATAACAGCTTTTTAAATCATACTTTACCCCAAAATTGATTTACTTTGAACAGAAATGTGAGATAAAACTTATGCATAATTCCCTTAAAGCAAATTTTTTTTTTTAACGGTCATCTCTGTAATCATTCTGGTCGATTAATCTTGATGATGTCCACTGGACTGAGAACTTTGACCGACTGCCCCCAGCCTCCCCCTGATGAGCATTTCTTATCTCAGCAGGGGACGGCAGCCAGAGGGACGTTCCCCGCTGAGTCCGGCTTGCATGTCGCCGGGCGCAAAGCCGAGCAACGGTCCCTCCCAGAAACAAAGCCCGGACGGCCCCCAGCAGCCGTCAGCCATCGCCCGCGTAGTGTCCGTGCGACACGGCCACATCCCCCAGCTGCAAAGGCAGGACGCGCCGGCTCAAAGTCCCCCCACGCCGAGTAAAGACTGCAGGCCGGAGCAAAGGCCAAAGTCTTCCCTCCGAGCCAAAGAGCAGCTGCTGACAGTCCATCTGCGTCGCGTCACCGAGAGCAGCCAGCCAGCCCAAACTCAAGCACAGGTATGGAGACAACACAAGCCAAACGTATGTATGCATTTCAAAACATTGTGCGCTCCAGTTGTCCACTTTACTTAATAAAGCTGGACGGCTTTCATGGGGTCAAGACACACTGGACTAGACAACCAGTTCCATTGGATAGTGTTTTCCATTTTAGAGTTAAATGCTGTTCTTTTTAGAGTTGTTTTTAATTATCTTCAGGTCTGTTCATTTCCACAACTGAGCTTTGCTGACCAATCATACTCTCCATCTATGGAGTTGAGAGGCCCTCTTAATTATGCTTGTTGAAAATAATTAGGCACTGGATGACTTGAATGAAGCTGGAATTTTCAAGTGCCGGAGAACATGACTTTATTTTCTTTATTTAAAATATGTGTTAATATAGCTCAGTCATCCTGCTCTAACAAAGCCAAACCTAATCAAATGTGACAATACTGTAAAGTAAATGTATTTTAAACAGACTCAGCAGTTTCATTGGCTGTGTGTGAGCTGTTTGGGGCACGGCAGCAGCATGGCACTAATCCCGGGTAATTGGATAGGCTCAACACTCCGTCGTTTCCTCTTTTGTGAGCTGGCACTGTGCATATCTGCCACCCTGCAGGCCACAGTCAGGAGCAACAGTGTGGAGATCAAACAAGAAGCACGGTGGACTGTCATCCCAGATCAGGCGGCCCAAACACGGGCGGAGCCACCCTCTGAACAGGATGCCCCACAGAGGTACGGCGGCAGCTTAGACTTAATCGTCGTCGTTTTGGATGTTATGATTTTATGAACTAGGATATGACTAGCCTGAAACCAGCTGGGAAAGGCAGCTTTTGTTTACATGACAAACACAAATGATAAAACAGCTGATATTTCCCCTCGTAGGGTTCAGCTTGTGAGTGTCAGAACTGAGACTTCTGCTACTATTATCTTTGCGACCTTACAAAGAATAATTCTTAAAGATATTAAGCAGATATGTAGGAACTATCTATATTTACCTCACCTGTAGTCTGAGTTGTAGTTTAGTTTTATAATTATTCAAATTTCATGCAAAATGAGACGGTTAAAAAAAAAGCTTTGGCCTCCTGACCTTTGACCCTTCAAAACTCACTGAGTGCACCTACGGCTTCATGAGCAGTTTTGTTAAATCTGTGTGACAGAGTGGTGTCACTGGAGAAAACATGCGACCTGATGGATTCTGCATCTGGTGAGAGGGCACTGATCACAGAAAAACTGAATCGGATCCTCGGGGAGTCTGTGGACGTCTCCTCTCTCACACTGGCTAAATCGAGAGTCTTTTCTGACCTGAAGGTACAAAACATTTTTCTTTTCAAGGCATCAGCGCCTATACAGTGAGTGAAACGTTCCTCTAAATATCACAAATCCTTAAACGTTTTTACAGGAGATTGATGACACCCTGCAGGCTGAAATGAGAAATAACTTAGAGCAAAGCTCTGAAGAGGAGAGACGAAGGCCGGGAGCCTCATCCCCACCATCCGTTTGCCAGGTCCTCCGCAGTAACGTTCATCATCTGAGGCAGCTCAGACGGCAGTTGGAGGAAGTTCAGTCAGCTGCCCGGGCTCTGGATCGTTTCCTGGCCACGCTGAGAGACGCCAAGGCCGAGATCCCAACCCTGCTGGCAAAGCAGCACCCCGGCAGACAGAAAAACGAGGCGGAGCGGGAGCAGGAGAGACACATCTGGCAGGCCACGCTGCAGATGTTGCAGCCTGCCATGGAACAATCCGACGTTGTTGACAGGAGTTTGAAGGCAGTGGGGATGACTCTGAGCATGGATGGGACACTTGTAACATGCCAGGAGGTGGTGAAAACTGTGTCCAAACATATTTTAGACCAGGAAAAAGAGTTGGTAGCAACAAGGAGTAAGCAGATGAATGAAGAGGCATTTCCTTTGGAAAGGGATCAAATGCAGAGCAATGAGGAGTTCAGTCTTATGGAGATGCCTAAGACAAGGACCGGGAGCAATTCAGGGCAGCAAATTGGAGCACAAGAGCATTCTTCTTCGAGTGTGACCGAAGAAAGTGTGACCAAAGAAGAGTTAGGGTGGCAGGTTAAAAGGATGAAGCAGGACTTTGAGGGTCACACAAACACACAAAGAAAGGAAGAGCTCAGGACTCAAATCTGGAGATCCGAGGGTGACATCTTAAAAATCAGGGACAAAAGACAAAGAAGAAGCAGCCAGATTAAAAAAGCAGGAGAGCAAAAGGAGAGTTGGGCCCAGAGGACAGCCGTGTTGTTGTCAACGCTGAGGAAGACAAAGACGAAGGCTGAGCAGCTGAGATTGCCGGAACCCACTCTACCGGCTCTACAACAGAGGTACAGCACCGCTACCTCCAGGAAAAGACTTACCAAGTGGAATGCCAGATGGATATTGATATCTCACAACCGCTGTTTTTCTCTCTGAATAGCAGCTGCCTCTTGTTCTCCATTCAAACTTTTCTCCTTTTTTCTCTATCGCCCCATAGGACGCGTGCGTTGACAGAGTTGGAAAGTCCTCTCGCCGGTCTCTTTTCTGAGGCGCAGCACCTGCGAGATGCTTCCTCACAGGCAGGAGGCGACGATCTGACCAGAGAGGTGGGGGATCTCTGGGAGGAGACCAAAAGAGCTGTGACTGACCGGTGAGGGGGGAAACAAAAATGTTTTACGCCGCTCTCATAAGTGGCTGTGTCTGCCTGGCTCATTCGTGTCTTGGACCTCCCCCAGGCTGGAGCAGTGTTCCGTCCTCACAGAGATGCTGAAGAGGTTTCAGACCTTACGTGGTGAGCTGAGTGGGACACTGCAGAGAGCCGAAAGCACAGTCAGTGAACAAGCCTCCTACATGGGGAAAGATAACCTGCAGAGACTACACACCAAGGTATGTCACATTCTGTTCTGGAAATGCATCACGATGGACTCCTCACAGATCTAAATACACTGACTGGCTTTAATTAAACATTTTCATGTGCTTTTTTCTATGATTTTTAAGGTCCAGGACACCAAAGTGGAACTGACTGGTCTCGGCGACAACATAGAAGAGGTGCGCGGTGTCTGTAGGCAGCTCCACGCTCAGCTGCGCCAGATGCCGGGCTGCACCGCCATTTCCTTTGAGAGTGAATCAGAGGCCCTGATGGACCACTGGCTGGATGTAGGTTCAGCCACGTCATCATTTCAATGCTCTGTTTAACTCTAGTCTCTTAAGTGTTGGCTTCAGCCTTGTTTTCAACATGTTGTTTGTAATAATCTAAGTATTCAAGCTGAGTTCTTAGTGGTCATTTCTACACATAATTTCAACACTCTTCAGCATTAACCGAATGCTGTCTTCTAAACTTGCTGCACAAGTAGTGCTTTACCTTTCATTTTGCTAGCTCCATATTACTGGCTTTGATAATTTTAATAAGGTTTTATTTTAATAGTTTAATACTGTCATTTAATCATTTGATTGCTCTGCTCTTCACAGCTATCGGAAAGAACAGATTTGCACTTAGAAAACCTGCATCTTTGCTTGAGCCTGTGGGATGGAGTCCTTCAGTTAGGCGCAGATGTTGGGAGCTGGACCGACAATAAACTAGCAGTGTTTGCTCAGTGTCCATCTTTTCAGATGGAGGAGGACATCGAGACTTTGCAGGTAAAGCTAAGGTCCTGTGCCTTTACAGTAGATCTTATAGGCAGAATTGGAGCAGGATCTTCAATTATTAATAGCTCAAACACACATTGGTGATATGATATTGTATTTACACACTCTTAATGTCTCACTCTTAATAGAGAGACTTTGTTGGATCTTTAGATCGCTTTTGATTAATTAATTTAAAATGCTTTTTTAAAGGTATGTTCTAAGTTGATGATTTTAATACTCCTGTTATTGTCTCTAGAGAGAGATTTTAACCCAAGAGGAGAATATACAGCGTTTCCACCGAAGAGCGACTGAGATACAGATGCTCCTTCAAAGCTCAGAGTTTCCTCTGGAGCTACAGGTACAACATGAAGCTCTGGTTTCGTCTTCTCTTTCAGAGTCTGGTTACCACTGTAGTGTAACACTGCAGCAAGCAGAAGATTTGATCATTGGATCAAAACTGTGGACTCAGTATTGGGAATTGGGAGTTCTCAGGGACACACATTTATAGAGCTGTGCTAACAGAGCCTTTTTATTCATTTTTAAAGGTGGTTGAGACCCAGATGAGGAAGAAGATGGAGCAGCTGAAGGAGCTTGCTTCAGAAGCAGAGGATGTTTACAAGCAGATGGTAGCCACTAAGGGACAAATTACTGGGAGGATGGCAGAGTGTTTCAACTCCCTTGAGCAGATCCAAAACTCCCTCCTCTCTCTGACTGGTCCTGATGTTGCAACCGTCCTTGCCAAACTTAAGGTGAGATCCAAAAGTTAATGAGATCTATATTAGGCCTTTGTACCCTTTCATAATATTTGTATTAAAAAATCCTCTGAAAATACTGTTGGTCCAGTGTTGGTGTGGCCCCTAAATATAAATATGAGTATAAATACTATTCTTGCACAAATAAGTAATTTGAAGCAGATGCCATCGAGTTGATTTTTTTGTTCAAATCATTACACACCTTTTTCTCTACAGGATTTATGTCTGCAGCTCCACACCCAAGATGAACAGGCTGCAAGTTTACTGGAAGATGTGGGTGTTATTGCTTCCATAGCTGGAACTGGGTGCCTTCAGAGTCTGTCTTCAGATGGGATTCAGCTGCAGGAAAAAGTCAGAAACACACATCAGCTCTTCTCTGAGGTGGAGGAACAGACGGAGAAGAATATTAATGATCTCGACAGGTGATACATTAAACTTTAAATTTGATGTAATGAATGTGATTAAATGAATATGGATATGCATTGGTGTCATGAAAAAAACAACATTTAAACAAGAGAAATGTAAAAAATAATACACGTCTTACCTCTAACCCACCCCAAAGAAAAGGATGAGTTAAGTGCTTTCAAGCTAGTTAATTTTCCAGGTTTGGAAAGGGTACTTATACTTACTTATCAGTCCAAAAGCAGAAGATCCTCTGAACTAAAAGTGAAGATTAAGTCTACACTAGAGTGTATCATGGCAATTGTGCATCCACAAGTGTTTTCATTGTGTTGTGGTCTGTAGGCTGCAAACAGAGAAGGAACATCTGGAGCTGTGGCTTCATGCTGCTGAAGGAAGAACGGCAAAGGCGGAGGATGCTAGCCTCCTGCAAGAAGAAACCCTTCAACAAAGGCAAGCCGTCCCTTAACTGTAGGCATGTATTAGATGGAAAAGGGTTTGCATTTACGGACTCGTATATGCGAATGAAACCTGATTATGAGACTCCATTCATCCCAAATGCATTGCATTTACATAAACTCTGTGTTTTCTGAACATTTCTAATGCATTGTCTCTCTTTTCTGGGCTCTTCAGTGTGAGGACGGAGCTCCTCAGTCAGCTCGTGTCATCTTTGCAAAGCAGCAGCCTTGGACAGTCTGTGCTTCTGGAGCAGAGCAGCAAACTGCTGGGACGATGGAGCCACTTCCAAACTGAAACCCGGCGGGGCTCGGAGGAGCCCCAGTGCTCTCAGAGCAGTGACCCCAAAGTGTTTCAGGCTTTTCCAAAGTCCACACAGCCATGCATTGAAGATCTGAGACCAGGCGTTGACTCTTCTGTTAAAAGCCGAACTCTACAAGAGCAGAGGCGCCGTCATGCAAAAGTAAGAAGATCTTACTGAGCTGCAAAGGTTTTTCTGAATGTTTTGGAATAAATCTGAATGTGATCTCTTTAATTCTAAATGCAACATAATTTCTTTATGGGAGGGAATATTTGTCAAATCTGTATAACAGGCGTCCTCAATAATGACACGGAAATTAATTGTGGGAATAATACTTAAAATATATTCCTCTTTCGACATCAAACCAGCCTGATATGAAAACCTCAGACAACAATAGTCTTTCACTACAATCAGACTTCGCCCTGCTCCCTTCCCATTTCTGTGGATGTTTGTTTTTTAAGTATCAGACAAGCACACACCCATCGGGTTTTTTTTCTTGTTGTCTTGCACATGCGATCTTCATTTTTTTCTGTGCAAAACCGATGACTAAATCGCTCTGAAAACTGCCTGGAAATTAAAATTCTCTGACGTTTTTGGTGTGCCCAAAATATCCACAGGGTTCGTGCTCCCGCCGCGAGGAAGGCTTGAGTAATGAGGAACACTTTCTCCAGTTACTGCAGGAGTGCCACCATAAATTGACATCCCTGCAGGACAAGCTGTCAGTCTGTCAAGCACAGAAAGAAAGCCCAGGTGGACTGAGGGCTGATGCATTAGCTCTGCAGGTGAGGTCCAAAAGGAAAATGGCCCAATGATTCACGTTCAAACTCAACATTTTTATTTCACTTTCCTTTTATGCCGAAACCTTTAAAAACCACCTATATTGCTTTTCAAACATTTAACTGTCACACTTTTCACATTTCAGCTATTGTTAGAAAATGTTATAGACACAGAAAAAGACATTTTACAACTTGTTACACTCAGGGAGTCCATCAGAATAAGTTCTACAGCTGAGGCCCGAAACAGGTTTTACCAGCTAATCACACACGTCCAAATCCACAAGAGGGTGCTAGAAAGTAGCAGCAGAGAACATATAGCGCTTCCTAAAGTGAGTCAAAGAATTCAGCAAGTTGAGGAAGAAGCCTTTTGTTTACAGATAACTCTGAAAGACCTGGAAGAAAATGTGGGGAGCCAGTCTAGAAGCCACGAAGTGCCGCCAGACATCAGCCAGCTGAAACAGCAGTGGGACGCCATGCAGGTAACGTTCACATCTCCTTTATAATGTAACGTTCTTAGATTAGAGAAAGCTGACGATGACCTCAGTCACTGAGGCATTTGTGTCCCTCAGGACTGCGATAAAAGACTGTCAGAGTTGGCTGACAGAGTTAATGAGCTGCAAAGGACAATAGATTCCACACAGGAAATGCTTCCCGAAGATGTCATTTCAGCCATCGGTGGATTAGTTAAAGACCTTGACAGGTAATGTCGGTGTTTCTTAGCAATTTCTGTGCTGCCTAATTAAATAAAGTCACAGTAAAAAAATAAAATTGGAGTTTTTCTATTACTTCTCTGACTCTCAAAGTCTGTTCCTATCACTGATTAAATCAGTGATAAGGGATGGGCAACTCCTGGCGTGGAGGGCTGCTGTCCTGCAGGTTTTAGAGGTTTCTATATACCTGATTCAGATGAAATGGAAATCTTGGAAAGATTGTTTAGCTTTGCACAGGATGCCCACCCATTGTAACCTTTTTATGAACAAAGATAGACTCTAGTAGTACTTTTGCAATAAGATTAATGTCATTTTGGTTTGTTTGAAAATGTACTTTTGTTAAACAGTGACTGACACTCTTTTTCTTTAACTTTTGACAATAAACTCGTCCTCGGACCAACTCCAGCTTACGATCAGCTTTTGAACAGAGGAATCTGGAGGTAGTGGAAAACACTGCTGAGACGGTGAGAGCAGTCATCACCCAGCTGCAGAAATGGATCCAAACAGCACAAGCTGAGCCATCATCACCCAGTCAGGTAAAACACACGCGTTTTCATCTTTCAGTCTTCTACTACACCCTGTTCAAAACCATCTTTACCTTTCCCCTTTTCACATTTTACTTAGCAATATCCTGTTGCCTCTGCAAGCTGACTTCGGATAAGCAGACTAAAAAATAATGGATTTGATATATGATTAGGCAAATGCCAAGGTTACTGTGAGAGATTGTAAGTGTTATTCAAATAGGAAAATGTGTCTTTACGTCCCTGTGTCCCAACAGGCAGCTCTGGATGAAGGTTTCCACCTTCAAAACGTGCTTCAGCAGCTGCTCACAGAACACCACTTCCTTCTTTCTTGTTTGGGAGCAGAAGTGACAACAGTTCTGGAGAGAAAGGCTGCAGCTGTTCTCAGTGAGAGTCAGCCTGTACTGCGGAATCTGTCTGAACGCGTGGTGAGTGTCTTCTTAAACACAGAAATGTATGACCATGAGCGGTTACGACTGTGACATTTCTGTGGTGATCCATATTTTTTCATCATCTCGTGTTTGACAGGCCAGCCTTAGTCAAGAACGACTGGAAAGCCACGATTCGTTGAGACGAGATGACAAAGGCAGTTTAAGAAATGAAGAAACGGCCGATTCTGTTTCATTGGATATTCCTTCGAGCACATCTTTTTCTCTCTCTTCTTCCTCTGTCGCAGCCAGCAAGGAAGACTCAGGTAGAAACCTGGTGGACGATGAAAATAAAACCAAAGGCAATAATCATAATCATCCATTTTCCACTGAGCTGGTCATAAAATTACCAACACAATCAAATGAGGGCTCTGATGTCAGGAAACAGGAGCAAGCATGCCCTTTGATACAGAAGGAGAGTACTGCTGGTGGCTTCATTGAACTAAACAAAGGCCTTGGTTCAGCCCCTATTCAAGCTTCCTGCTCTGAAATCCCAAATGTTTTAAGATCACAGGATTTGACAGGTCCTCCAAAAATAAACCTCCGGGCTGATACTGCGTCAGAGGATGAGGGCAGGATGGTCGGCACTGAGACTCAGAGCATCGCTACCAACCCTTTTCCCACTCCTGGCAAAATGTCTGCACTTCAAGCAGCCCAATCAGAGACTTTTAGGGCCAGGGCTGATGCTCCAGAACAAGATAAGCATGATGGTGATAGCAGTGGAAACCCAGATAAAGTGTTCACTGTGGTGTTGGAGCTGCAGGCATGGGACATACAGCAGAGTGGACATTTTGGAACTAGCTGTTCAGATGTTCTCAGATGGTCAGAGAGAGCTGAACTTTTCAATGCAAAACAGGCAGAGAGCTCAAACACAGGGTTCCCTGAGGAAAAGGAGGAACGACCTCCAAGTGCTAAATCACTATGTAAAGAAAACCACGAAGCCCTGACATCAAAGGATAAAGAGCGTCTGACTTCCTCCAAGTCTGTTGCTGAACGTCAGCACACCGACAGACGTGTGACAGAAACCACACGTCAAAGTGTCAAACGGGAAGAGACGGCCGGGTTTTGCCTCCCTGGGGGAGAAACTGTGGAAGGTTCAGCGCAAACTGAAGATGCCACAACGGAAACGGGAAGGAAGATGACGTCACAGAATCAGGTATTATCTATTTACTGTATTCATTATTACTTGGTCTCTGTTATTGTGGGGGGAAAAAAACATAAACTCACTAATAATGTGACTTTGATTTGATTGTCATCACATCACATGCATGGTTTAGATTTGGTCCTAGGCCCCTGTTGGACTCTGGTGCTACATGCACTGAATGACCAGCAACATGACCTCTCAAGTGGAGTTTTAATCTTCACAATACTGGAACAAAATCTCACAAGTTAAACTCCAACAGTATAACAAGTCGGTAACTTGTTAAAAAGGTTTCTGATGACGGGAAATTCAGGATAAATTGAAGTTAAATTGACTCTCCTTATTCATTTTTATAGGGTTCCACTTATCAGTCAACATCTTTGACATTTACAAGCCATCGTCATTTCCCCCTCTTCCCTCCTCGAGTTGCCGTGTGTGTGAGAGAGAGTGAGAGCAAAAAACACATTTCTGACATTTTGAAACTGTAATTTCATATCAAAAGTTGCACAAAATTTATCCCGAGCTTTTTTGTGTCTCATCATTTATAAACTGAATGTCATCGCTTTTAGCAAAGTCTATACATACAGTTTTAACTTTTTTTAAGTATTTGCCAACCCTCGGAAAGGAATGCATCTTCTCTATGAAAATGGTTGAATGCTTTTCCATCTTTGTATTACACAGACTATATTATTTTTCTTACTGACAAGTGTGTATGTTATATATGCTCAGCAGTATAGCCAAACTTTTCTGCTGAGATTTAAAACCTAATTATTTTTACCATTGAGGTACCACATATGGATGCCACATGTTTACTCCTAGAAGCCTATTATTTATCAGCTACTTCAAGTGGAGATGATTACTCATTTCTAATTGCCTTACATATATCTTAAGCTTTCAATAGTATGAATCAGTAATCAGTAACCAAGTAGGATCCCCACGATCTTGAAAGGAGTAATTGGTGTATCAGATGGATGGATATGATAAATTCACATTTCTCTGTTTTATATAACAGTGAGTTTCAATTGTAGGATGTAAGAATTCAGGGTTTAATTCCATTAATCTGAAAAAAAGACTTGTGTGTGGGAGTGTGTGTCTAAAAATGGAGATTCAGCGGTCTAAATTGAAGATAGTTTTTCATCCCTTATGGTGTCAATCATAAATACAAGGTGATTGCTTAGAAGACATTTCAACTCACAATTAATCAATAAGTGCAGATTGAGTCTTTGAGAAGTGGGGGTTTAAAGAAATGAGGCAAAAACTGAGCTTTTCCAAGAGATGCTGACAACGGGAATCAAACCACACACATAGCCTATATATAAACATGTCAGAATATAAACTCTTAATATAGTTTTTTATATATTTATCAGTTTTAGCAGAATGAGAATCAAATAGCTTGCATGATTTGTTTTATGAAAAACTTTCTCTTAGATTTTTTGGCTCCATTTGAGTGAGAAAAATATTAATATTTTACGTAATTGCATACTTGCATGATTGATTTGAGTGTTATACATAATCATGCGTTTTTTTCTGCCATACAAACCAAACTAAACATGGGGCACTAATACTGTGCAGCATGCTTTCTTTTCCGGTTCATGCTGCCACACTACACACCTTAGTCATGCCCGGGACATTTTAGGAAGCACCTCCCATCTTTGAAATCTAGTAACCTCGCAGTTCAAGTCAAGTTTTAATGTCAGTCCTGTCTGACCACGTTATAAAGTTCTCTCTTTACAAAAAGTGAGGCATGTTAAAGAGCAACTGAAGGAATCCTCCCCCCTGGGGGCAGACTGCATTCTTATGGTAACTGTACTGACTCGCCGGGCCACCGCCAGCCTGATATTTACCGCTGCAGAGCAGGGAAAAGAACAGGAAGCTCTGTTATTATCTCTGGACAAATATGGGGAAGACAGGCAAAAATGTGTCAACACCCATGTCTTCTGTCTGTGTTGCCTCAGATCCGAGAGAGCATGGACCCTGAGCGGACGGCGCCGGTTTTACCGGCTGCTCTGGCTGCTGGACAGCAGACAGGTGGATCCCCGGATCCCTGCAAGCACAGGTTCACCATGCAGGACATTTTATCTGACATCCAGAGCTTGGTGGAAAGAAGTACCATTATAAATGTGAGTATTAACTGATTTCAATGAAACTTAGAGCTTTATCTGCTTGTTATAATGGGAAAACACGGAGCTGTGGGTTAAAACAAGCAGTTATGTGTTTTGCTGAAGAGTAAAGCAAAGGTTCAATTTTCAACTGTAGGAAGTAAAGAAAAATAGGCTAATGTCTGTGCCATGTCTTTTGTGCCGTACACAGTATTAGCAATATGTGATGGTGTTTTAAAACAAGAAGGTTTCTTTCATTTCAGATGTTTAACTCAAAGTATTAGTGTATGCATCTAAAAAAAGAAAGAGGTTTATATAAATGCACGGCACAGTGATCAGATAAGAATAGCGGTGTTTTGATTGATGTTTATGTATTCCCATGATGCTACTGACGGGGAGGTCAACAGGAAAAATTTATGAGATAAAAGGATTTCCTGAAGGATCATTAAAGTGTTTAGCTACAGACAATACAGACCCTGGTAGAACTAGAGAGTCAGGGCAGTCAAGGTGTGCTCACATTGATTTGAAATATATTTTCTATTTTAGTTTTTAGGGATGAATGAAATTCTCATTTAGAAAATATTTCCCACAATTTATACTTGTCTTTCTTAATGTATTCTGGAAATGGGAAGCATAAACTGGAATACTTTACATTGTCCTATGTCAGATTTTAGATAAATTATAGATTTTAGATATAATAAGGACTGCAAATAAAATGAAATAAAAAAAAAACTCAAAACGATTTTTTACCCTTTAGTTTTTCACCACTTGTAATTTAATCTCTTGTGTTCTTTGTAAAGAGAACTCCGCACACTGGTTTTAACTGGTACCTGAAATCATTGCCCGGTGAGGCAGACATTCAATTGGTAAGAAGTGTTCAGCAAGTTCTGGCATGCCGATATCAGCCGGCGCAACTCAGTGTCACAGTCATGGCCAAACAGCTGGAGGAAGCACAGGTGAGTACCGGTACATAACATTTGCAACCCTGTCCGTAAAAAGCTGGAACTCTGTGTGAACAAGGCTAAAAGCAATGATTTCCATATCTAATTAAAACTCCCAATGACAAGATATATATACAACTACTTCTAATTTCATGCTGGCAAATTTTTCTCCAAGTTCTCTGAAAGATAAGATGATTGTTTGGAGAATATCATAGATAACATCTGTAGATGTTAATCTTTCAAAACTTTGTTATTTATTCTGTTCTTTTTGCATTTCACACATCATCACAACTCTTTCCTCTCTGATACAACACCTGTATGGTTAATAATTTTAATGTTAGTGATTTACTCAGTTAGTTAAAGTTCATCTGCATCAGATTTGTTAATCATAAAATTCATCTGGAGGGACTTTGTAATCGATCTTTTGTAGGAGCTCAGGCGTCATGTGCAGGAGCAAGTGTCTACTCTGAACAACGACACCTCTGTGGTTTTGGATCCAAACGGTGTGAAAAGAGCCGAGAAACGTCGCAGCGCAGCCCTCCTGGATGCGTCTGCCACCGTGCAGGTGAAAGCCACGCAGCTGGCTCAGGTCAGACAGTATCACCTTCAGATGAAGCTCGCCAAAGCCTTCCTGGAGGTTGTTGCTGCCGAGAGGGAAAAAATGAGCCTGTGAGTAAACTTACAGAATCAAACATATTTCATTACGGTTACATCATCCTCATGACACGTGTATAAAAGAATCACTTTTCTTCCAGAAATGCTTTGGGAAGCAGTGCCTTTCAAGCTGAGAAACTTGGTGCTCTGCAGCAAACCATGGAGCTGAAGAATTCCCTCATGGAAGATTTGCTCTGCATAAGTGGCCAACTGTCAGCCCACCTAAGTGACGCTGAAAGCTCCGGTGCCCTTCTTGCTCAGCTTGGAGATGTTCAGGAGGAATGGAGGCTTCAAGAAGGAAGCATCAAAAGAGCTCTGCGGCATGCGTCAAACTCGGCCCGTCAAGCTTCCCTCCTTTGTAACCAGGCCGAACAGCTTAAAGCCAAACTCGAAGCTCTGCTGAAATGTGAAAGCTGCAACTTAAGGGCCTTCCAACTTATTTGTCAGACCACAGACCTAAAAATATGTAACCAGCTTTATCTGCGTTTAAAGTCCCAGACAGATGCCCTCATCAAATTTCCTCTTGGGCAGAAAGAAAAAGACGAGATTGGACAAAATCTTCAGGGATTGCGGTCTTTGTTTGACGCCTGTAACACCAAGTTGGACTCTTTCAGCTGTGGTGGCAATACTTCCGGCAACATCCACAGGCAACTGGCAGATTTGATCATATGGGCTAAGCAGGCAGAAAGTCGCATCTCCACGGGGCAGAAGTTAGCTCTTTTTCCTGAGGAGGCCCGCATTCAGATTGCTGAAATGAAAAAATTTCAGACTGAAATCCTCTCTAGGCGGACCGAGGTTCAAGACCAAGTTGAAAAGCTGAAAGGTGAAGCCTCTGATGTGGAAAAGGTCGATACCGGCGAACTGAAAACAGTAACAGGCATGTATGAAGCTCTTGCTGACAGCCTGGGCTGTGTCCTTAAGACCATGAAGAGCGATCTCAGTGAGAGAGAGAAACTCTTGGGTGAGCTTGCTAACCTGGAATCCTGGCTTGCAGAAACTCACGCTCAAAGAGATCCCTGCACCCACGTGGAGAACGTTTCAACAGCAGACATTAGAAAATTGGAAGAAGAGCTGAAAAACCACAAATTAGCCACAGTGGAGATAGAGAACCAACTCAAACTAGTAGATCAAATGTCAGACAGCTGTGCCACTATAGCCATGGGGTTGAGTCCAGGAGAGAGCCGCTACCTAGTGAACCGGCTTTCAGGCCTGTGGACAGAGTTAGATGGGCTGTTAGCCCACGAGAAAGCCACCAGCTGGGAACTGGAAGAGCTGATTCACGAGTGGACCTCTTCAAATGACGAGTTATTTACCATTCAAGGCAGCTTAAAGCAGATTTCTGCTGACTTGGAGCAGCAGAAATTCCCTTTGACCCAGGACACACTGCTGGTGATCGCACATATGGAGCACATGCTTATGGAGCATCAGTGTCAAGTACAAGAGCTTCAGCACTGCCAGGAGGCAAAGAGAAGCCCCTTGCTTTGCTCCATTGGGGAACTGCAAGACAGGTGTAAAGCTCTTATCATAAATGCCTCTGAACAAGACAAATATTTGCACCTGATTGAACAAATGAAGGAATCTCAAGACATCGTCAAAAGGCAAATTGAACATGCCAAAAATAAAGCTGTCAGCGCGGGCGAGAGGTTCAGGCTGTGCCAAGCGCTCCTGGTTGAACTTCCTTTGGTCAAAACACAATGCCAGGAAGCAGCAGATCAACTGGAGGCTATAGCCAATGAGTTGAATGCGTCTGAGTTGAATTCCGAGAGGGAGAGGATTCACAGCACAGTGGAAACTTTGGAGTCCTGGGAGCATTCTGCCACGGACGACATAAAAAACCTGGAGGCCAAATTACTGCTGGGTCTGCGATTTGACTCTGAACTTCCCGGCTTTATCAAATTATTACACAGCACAAGGGAGAGGCTAGAGGCAGCCGAACCAGTTTGTCCAGAAGAAAGGGCCATAGATACTGCACTACTGCAGTACTGGGTCATCTGGAGAAATGTGGAATCTGGGATGCGAGTGTTGGAAGGTCTGGCACAGAAAGAGAAAGTTAACTTAAAGAACTACAAGGACCTGTTTTCCCTCAGAGAAGTTGTCATTCAAGAGTGCCATTCTTGGATGGTAAGTTTGAATTATTAGCACTTTTTAAAAAAAGATTTTCGCTTTAACTTCTAAAGATTGTGATCATGTATCCAACAGGACAGTCTGTCTCAAGCCAGAGAATCTCTCAAAGATTATCAGTGGGCCGCTCAGGGAGCGATAGGCTTCCTCCACAACGCCGAAACAACCTTCTTATCAGCTCCCGGAGGGTTTTTGGATTGCACAGAGGAACAAAGACAGACCCACCAAGCTTTGGAGGTTCTAGAAGATGGATTTCAAGCTCACATCAGCCACCTTGTGGAGCGGGTGCCCCAGCAGACCTGCCTGTCCCGCCCAGAGACAGAGGCGCTCCACATCAGCGTCCTCAGCCGGCTGTTGGTTGGAAGAGCTGTTCTGGAGGCTCAGGCACAGCTCAGGCTGGAGTGCTTGCAGAGGTAGTGGAGTGTTCCCAAAGTCACCTCCACCTTTATTCTTGATGTGGTTATTTTTTACCATGGTTTCTTTTTTTAAGGTGTGAAATGGGACAACAAAGTCACAGGAAGTGTCACGAGGACATACGTCAGTGTCTCTCCGGGCTCGAGGAAAGGCTCTCAGAATGTGCTGCAGAGCGCGTCGCATCGTACGACAAATGCGCTGCCCAACAAAGACGAGCCCAGGTGGGTTCGGAGGCGTCCTCGAACATGCGGAACCACTGCCGGCTGGGTTCATGTTTAACGGAAGGTTTATCTGATTGAAGCTTCTGATGGACGATCTTCGCCGCCTTGCCTGGAGGATAGAAGATCTGAGAGCTGGATGCCCAGTGCAAGGCTGTGGAGTGGGGAAGGACGGCGGGCTGGGGGCGCTGTGGAGGCGCTGGGCCTCGCTCCGGCGGGGGGCCGGCCTGCTGATGGCCCGCTCCGAACAGAGGGGGGAGGAATGGAAAGACATCGCCACAAGTGTGAGTTTTAATGCAAAACCAGTGTCGACTTTTTGAGGCCCACTTAGTTTAAGAATATCGAGTTTAAAACAAATGAATAATAACGTTGTATCATTTCTCCCGCTGTCAGATGGAGCAGTGCTGCAGCTGTTTGGCCAGCCTTCAAGCTGAGGTTCCAGACTCCTCCGCTGTGAGCTTCACTCAGGCACCTCAGAAGCTTCTTGCTCAGGCTGAGATGTACCAAGCAGGCTTGGAGCAGGAGCAGCAGGCCATTCTGTCCCTGGAGCGTCGACTGGAGCACGCTCTGAGCTTATCCAGTTCCCACGAGTCCGTCAGCCCCGGGCCAGTTGGAAAAACACTGGTGAAGATCCAGGAGAACGTCAGGAGGTAAAACTTTCTCAACACACGCGTGCGGAGTCATCACTCCTCTGTTGTACAATCGTTTAGGAGATGTTGTTTCCAACAGCTTGAAAGAGAGAGCCCTGCTGGTTGTGGCTGCAGCTCAGGCAGAGGAGAAGGAGAGGCATCAGATCCAGGAGGAGATCAGACAGTTGGAGAAACAGCTGGTTTCTACCTCATCACAGCTGGAACTCTGTTCAAATCCAAGTGAAAGACATGTGAGTTCTTCATCTGTTAGTTTAGAGTCGTATTCGTATGTAGACTGTGGTTGTAATGACATTTATTTTACACTTTGATTGTAAAAATACATAACATTTGACAGAATTGAACTCATTTTATGGTGTTTAGAGTTTTTTTACTTGACTCTCATTTGTGCTCTGTTGTTTGCTTCTTTTGCATTTTCTGTCCTGCTCTTGTGTTTGTGAACTGACAGGAGCTCAAGAAGGATTTGTCCTCACTGAAGATCGAGCTAAGGTGTATCATGGACAACGTGCAGAGACGATTTGATGAGATTCCTGTTGATATTGAAATGCAGATACAAGAAGTCCAAGCGTCCGTACAGAAAGCGGAGGAGGTGGTGCTTCGTACTTTACAGTGCATAAATTATGTTCCAGAGGAGACTTTTTAAAATGATTATCTATGTGTGTTTAAAAGATTCTTGAGAGGAACAGCCCAGTCAAAAAACTGGCCTGTAGACTACATGAGCTGAGTTCTGGCCTGGAAGAAGTTAAAGCATTACTGGAGAAGAGAAGTACAACAGTCACTGAAGCTCAAAATGTCCTTAAGGTGAATTTACTTATTATCACTGTTGTCCTTAACATCTGTGGCTATTCTAAATGTAAGACAAACTTTTTAATGCTTTAACGTTAGTCTTAAAAAGATGTGCCATAACTTGTCATTTTAGGTATAGTTTAGGCTAATTTTGGAAACTATCTATGCCAAAATATCCGCCAATATCCGAATATTTGAAGCAACTGGACCAGATACTGTTAACCGCATTATTTTGACAAGCCTGACTCGATTTCCACTGATTGTTCTCCAGCATGTTTGGGATGAGCTGGATTCATGGCACAGCAGCTTGATGCTCCTGGAGAACGAAGTGCAGGATCTGGCAGAGGAGCAGCCAGAAGAAGCCCAGCTTCTCATGGACCAGCTCACAGAACCACTCCAGCTCTACCAAAACGCAGCGCACATGGCTGAGCACCGCACCACCTTCCTCAGCAGGGTCAGACACACTCCTACAACCCCTTTTCCTATACTTATCTATACGTAACTTACATCTAAGCTCACAAAAGTCCTCTTTTTTTGTCAGATCCCTGCCTGTCTTAAGGAGTTTGAAGACATCCTGCACAGAGCCACCTGCTGGTTGGATGAAGCCCAGTCGTGGCTCAAGTCTCCCTGCTCATTCACAACAGCCAGAAGTCTGCAGAATCATGCAAAGTCTTTGCAGGTCAGAGAATTCAAATGAGGAAACAAAAACAACACTTCAGTTTTGTCATGTTATATTTCCGTCTGTCTATGTTCATTGTGGTGGTGTATTAGTTTCATGATTGGTTTCTGTATATGTGTAAAAAAAATGTAATCTGTCATTTTGTTTAAACAATTAATTCATTAATAATTCTGGTTAGCACTCTTTCGGAGCACCTAACTTTAAGGTCGGTTTCGTGTTAAAAATTCCAATTCCTCAGCTGGTGTTGGAAGACTCCGACAGGATCAGAAGAAGTCTGCAGGACTTCAGGTCGATGCTGGCTGAGATCGATGCTGTGTGTGACATCAGACGTCTGGAGGAAAGGCTCAACCAGAGTGACGCACAAGTCCACGAAATGCAATGTAGCATCTCTGACCCGCTGACTCAGCTTTTACAGGCCTATGCAGTAAGGAATGAAGATTTAATACTTTAAATTAATTTTTAAAATATCATGGTTCTCCCAGCTTGCTGTTTAGCTCAAGGCCGGAATTAGATCTGGGTCAGACTAGGCTGAATCTGGCTGAAACCCTCCAATAACAGGATACACTCACAGGGGAAGTTAATACAAAAAATATGGGCAGTCTATAGGCAGTTGCCATCTAAAGACTGTTAAATATATTATTCAGGTTTCTGAAGAAGTTGCTGATTTCCTTCTCAGATCGTGGAAGTAATTGAAGCCGACGTGAAGATTATGGAGAAGAATGTCCCTAAAATCAGGACCATTTTATCCTCGATGGATGTGGCAAACATACCCCTGACAGAGCATCTTCACAACCGACAGGTAAACAGTACCTGGCAGTTTTCTTCTTCTGTCTTTTTTTTGGCATTTCTTAAAGCTAGTTTAAAAGATTGAATACTCTCTGTGTGGAGAAGCAAAAGTCAGTTTCTTTTTTCTTTTTGTTTTAAAGTCTCAATCAAGTTTCAATATATATGTGAAACTTTACATTATGTATATTTGAATCCCCTAAGAAAGCCCTACAAAGACAGCCCTGTTAAACATCAGAAAGGCTCATGATAATCATGGCAATCATGGCAATTTCCTCTACAAGACTCTGCTAAAATGTTGTTTTTCATTAGTGAAAAACAATCATATTTGAGATGGGCCACCGACTGAGATGAATGTTTAAAACGTACATGTTTCATAGGTGATCCTGGCCAGCCTGCAGTCAATGCTGAGTGGTTTAGAGGACATAGAGAGATGCAAAGGGGAGCTCCACATTGCTGAGGGAGTAGACGACCTTCAGGTCTTCTCCAGAGCTAAACTTCTCCTGCAGCCTCTGCAGGACATGGACCAACTCACCCGGGAGCAGCTGTCACTGCTGGAGGTAATGACGAGGCTCTGTTTCTGTTATGAGCAGGCACTGAGGTTCTCATATACAAGTTAACTGTAACTAAGTTATCAATCACAAGTGTCTATTAAAGGCACTAATCTTACTAATAATCTATGACTGGAACTCAGTGTACTGACCCAGCCTTTCCCTGTGCCCCTGATGGACACAGAACATGATTAGGTCAGAAGAAGAAACCTCTACAAGTCCTGACCCCGCCACAGTTTCTGATTTTTCTGAAGAGGCAGAGCAGCTCCACAGATCTGCACAGAGACATTTTGATCAGGTAACATTTACCAGTGAACATTTATCAAGGAATATGGGTTTAGGTTGTATATATATATATATATGTTTTTTTGTAAATCGACACTATTCTCTGGAATTAGTTGAGCCTGCCTGACAAAGTCCTGACGAAAACAATATCTGCCATTAAAAAAGTTATGGCTGTAGAGCAGGCTCAAGGAAATCCAAGAATCTTGGCTTTTTAGGAATGTTTCTCTTACTGTTTCTGAGTGAAAACATCCACATCTGGCCAGATGAGATCCCCGTTCATGCTCTGAGAAAAATGGTGGACCCTTCTATCTGAGCATGAACAGGGATTTCCCTCAGTTGCCTTCTGATGTTTACACCCAGTGTCCACAATGCATATGAATGGCTGATCATCTCTGTGAATCTGTACAAATCTTAACATTAACCTTCTGAAGTGAGAATAACCCCGAATGTTTTGTTCATCAATGACTGTGGAATTACACTCTAATTATTTTAATATGCTATTAAACAGGACTAAATATAACACTGTTGTGTGACTTAAGAAGTAGCAACATTCGCTTTTCTCCTGTCATACATTAATATTACCTCTAATATTACTTAATCACAAGTAGAGACAGTTTTATTTATCAAGTTCTACAATAATTGATGGGATGAAAGAGAATATTTGGTTGACTGCTAGTGGACAAGAAGCACTGCCTTCAGCCATTATCATTATTCTTCCTGTTTTACTGAAAAAAACACTTTTGATTAAATATTCACCCTTATCACTGGAAGCAGGAGGCTTTTGAGGTGTCTAAATCAGAGGAAGAGGAGGATGAGGAAGCTGAAAGTTGTCACTCTTCTTCCTCTGACACACTAACATGCAGTATTCCAGAGGTAAATCCAGACAAATGATTACATCACAACAAGGCATGCCTCTGGGCTCTTCTGTATGCTTGGTTTAATTCCAAAATATCCCACTAATGCTGGAGAATCTACTGCCATTCCAACTTTTTATGCAGATGATCCCCGCTGATATTTGGAATTAAACAAAATGTTTTGGGCTACTTCTTCTATCATTGTTCTCTCTTTGTTCTCTCTAATACCTTTTAAATTCAAACAACTTCCTTTCCCTTCCTCCTGAACACATGAATAGATTTTTGCATGCTGATGATCTGCATGAGGCATGTTGTCGTCCGACCAAATGAACCCACTCTGGTGCCGTCATGAGCAGCTGCTCGAAATCCCCCCCTGAAACCTCTCCTTTCACACACAGACCCACAAAGACAGCGACCTATGTATAAAAGTGCGCCTGTGTCTGTATGAATTCACTTTGCATCTCTGTTTCTATACAACTGACGTGTTAGGACCCAGAGGACACGATGGATTTGTTAGATGGGCAAATTGAGGATATGGCTGAAATTCAACCACAGGCCCAGGTTATGGTAAGTAATATTTTTGGTTGGGCGTCAGTGGCGGCTTATTTTAGTTAAAAAGGATCTCAATCATATCAGTTTTGAGAAAAAATAACGGCGGTTTGGCAGTTATGTCTTAAATTTGTCTTTCAGGAGCAGCAGAGTTCAGCTCAGCGGTTTTCTCCAGAGGCAGAGACAAGCTCAAAGGGGGCTGAAGCCAGGTTTTTGTCTTCTGAGCCTGGCCGTGAGGACAATTCTGCTTTTAGTCCTAAAACTGTGATGGTGGATTCTCCAGACAATGCAAACAAAGCTGAGGTTCACTTTAAAGTAGCCGTTCCAGGTCTACAGGAATCACCAAAACAGGAAACCTCCGACCACCCTCAGACGGACTCAGCGGCTGAAGAAACAAGACTGATTCCTTCAAGACCCATAACTCCATTTAGTGCCAAACGGACATCCGATGAGTTTAGAGAGGAGAAAGATGAAAATACATTGTTCTCCCCTACTCCTCATCTAGATCAGGTGTGTGTCTGTGAAATAAAGAGAATATATTCTGCCTTATACCTTTTTTTCATTTTTCACATTTAATTAACAATCATTAAAACTCACTGCCATTTGATCTTCAGGATGCCCCTAATAGACTGGAAGAGCACCAAAAAGCAAAGGAAGGATCCGTGCAAACCAAGGGACTGTCTGAGCCGACATTAAGGTAAAAGTCTGAATCGTGCTGTTATAGAGGGGTTGATAACTTCTCTTTCCATAGCAGTACCACAAAACTCTCCTGTGTGTCTCCTAGCTCGGCTGCTGGTAAAGACGATGACAAGGAGTGCCAAAGCTGGGGCCAACTTCTCTTCCAAATCTCAGAAAAATTGACCATTTTGAGAAAACTGCAACAGAAGCATCAAAGTGGAGTCAACACAGAAAATAGGGATAAAAATGATAAGGTATGGAAAAACTAAAAAAAATGGTAATTGGCATGAGAAGTCGATTCACATATCTAAAGGAGGATGAGCAGTGAAGGGTCTTCATAACAAAAAGATTAAGATTTGTTAGCAGCACTGACACCTTTCCAGTCTGAAAGACCAAAAAACATTTCTGCTTCTATTCAGCCTTTAGAAAATCCATCAGCGTCAACAGGATCGGCCTCTGCAGTCCTTCAGCAGACACGAGAATCCATCGCTGTGCTACAGCAAACAGTAAGTTTGTATCAGAAACACAGGGAATCCAAATACCACAGAGTCGCAGAGTCCTTAGTAGCAACAGGTAGTAGGTATGCAGTGCAAAATTAGTCTTTGATAAATAATCAATCATTTAATTGAAATACATTAAATAATAATAACAAAAATTAGAATATTACTATTACTATTAGAAAAATAAGTGTATATACAAACATAGAATAAACAATATAATACAAACACAAAGAATGGTAAAAAAAAAAAAAAAAGCTTTATATTTATGGTTCTTGTTGATTATTTCCAGGTGACAGCTGCAGGTAGTTCTGATCCAGGTCAAAATGAGAAGCTGTTCCAGGCTCTACGCAGAGTCCTCCTCTGCCTCCACCCGTTGACTGACTTTCTGCTGGCTCCTGCTGGGGCTGGAGGAGATGCTGATCCTCAGCTTAGGCTGCTGCAGCTGGAGGTATCTGTCCGTGACACTACTCAAGTCTGACAGCTGGCTCTATTCAATGAGAAGCAGAGGTTGATAAAGTCTAAATGTTTCAGTAACATCTGTTCTGCTTTTGGTCCCATTCCTGTGTAGTGTGTGTCAGCAGAGCTGCTGACTCTGTCCGGGCTGCTTGGTAAAATGGAGCCGGAGCTCCCACCTGCACTCTCAAAGGATGAGCCAGATGCTTACAGATGTCTGACTAGTCTTCAGGATGGTCTACAAAAAGCCCAGTTTGTCCTCACCTCCCTCCACAATCAGCTGACTGAAGATTCAGGCCTCAGCGAACAGCTTCAGGTCTGGAGTGAACTGCCACTCACTGCCATGCTGGTCAAACTTTAACAGTCCCTAAAAGTCTCACACGAGCTGTACAAGAGTAAAATGTCACATGTCTGTTTCCGTGTTGAAATTCTCGAAACCTTTGACATGTAATGAATCAAGAGTACTGAGCCTTTGGGAGTTGATGTTTATCTTTTAATTAAATTAATTCCATCATCTGTTATTAAATCTTAACCAACTCAAATTTGAAAATGCTGATAATATGGATTGAAAAAACTGTTCATGAATCATGATAATGGAGCAATGCTTACTTAGAAAGATTCAATTTAAAGGAACATCTTTTAACTAGTGGAGATGTTTTAATCTTCTCCCTATATTAGAACTAACAGAATGTTTTTCCCCATCTTTTAAAGGAGCCCTCCTCAACTCAGATGTGTCTCCTGTATGAGATTGAACTGGAACAGAATGAGATTTTCCCAAATCTAAAGAATGCTTCCAATCTGGAGGTAACACCTGCTACACATCTTTGTATTTGTGCGAGTTTAACCGGTCAAGGACCTTTTGAAAGAAGGATGCTTCCAAAGGCCGTGATCTAAGAGCCAAATTTAGATGATATTACAAAGTGTCTTTGCTTCTAAGTGTGATCTGTTATCAGTATAACAAAATGTCCCAAAGCTCAATGTCAACAACTTCCCTTATTTTATCTTAAAAACTAACCACCTAATGGATTTCAGGTTGATGAATTTAACTAGAAAACGTCTGTGTTTTCAAAATTAACTGAATCGGTATCGAGATTCATGGTGAACATTGTATTTTTTTCTGAAAGTTGAACTAATATCTGTACACACTGTTAAAGGACCTTCAAAGTTGTTGTTGGATCTCTTTTTTGAAAAAGTCAATTAAAATTCCTTAAACTCTGTGCTGCTCCTGTGTACCTCGGCAGAGTGTTCTGGGCAGATATCTGAGCAAGTGTACGGGGGGAGAAGACAAGCCTCAACACGCCTCTCGGTCCTTGCTTCAGGGGATAACTCGTCTCCTGGAACTGGGTGAAGAATGCTTAACAGAAAGACGGGCGAGACAGGCTCCCAGCTGCAGTAAACTTCAAGCCGTTCTCCGCAGACACAAGGTATCTCATTATCCTCCCAGCAAGCTGGAGGCCCAAATGCAAATTAGACAGCATACTTTGTCCAGAGTTCAAGGAGAACTGGTCGGGCTACAACCTCCAGTGCTATGAAAAATACATCAGATACATACTTACAAACGTCAAACTCTCAAACTTTATCACAACATTAATTCATTGATTTATTTTTTCATAAATGTGATCTCATCTTACACAGAACCTCCTGCAGGTCCTCAAATCCCAGCTGGCTTTCGTTCAGTATTTATTCCACCATGAGCCAAATGTGCTCAGGGGTAAAGAGGATGAATGGAAACAGCTGGAAGTCAGGGCCAAAGCGCTGAACCAACTGGCCCTGGAAAAGGAAGTAGCTTCTCAAACAAGGCTCCAGGTTCGTGGCAGTTGTTTGCTGAAGGCCAGAGGATTTTCTACACACACACACAAACGTGCTGCCGTCAGAAGAAAAGGTAAAGAGACTGCTGGATTTATGGCTGTCTCTGCGGTAGGAGTGGGTCAACTGGGAGGATCGCTGTGCTCGACTGGTCGAGGTGCTGAATGAGTCTGAGGCCTTCATCAGCAGTGGGGAGCCGGAGGGAGCCGATGATGAGGAGCTGGTGCAGCGCAGACTGAATGCCTGCGAGGTACACATCCTGTTATGCCTCAGACAGTTTATTCTCACTCGTTTCTCAGGTTGAGTTGTTTAACTTCCTATTGTGGTTCGAAATGCAAAAAACTAAAACACAAAAAACTTTCAGAATTTTGAAAAAAAAGAGGGAAGAAAACAGAAAGCACAACATTGGATGAAACACAAAGTCAAAGTACAAGAACTTTTCCGAAAGAATATTTTTTAAATGAAGTAAAACTTTCGGAAAACTGTTTTACTTTTTTAATGAGTCTTGTTATTCTACATGTAGTGATTGTGCTAATTATTATGTTGTGTTTCTGGATTTCTTCCACATTCCACACAATGCCTTTAAGGAAAACAGCTTCTTGGATATTTTCCTAAATATAAAATTTGATTACTGTAATACGATTTTTTTCAATTTAAAGGGGAGTGACGCCAAGTTTAAAGTTTAATTTCAATATGTCAACCTTTAAAAAACATTTTTGTTACACAGGGAAAATAAATCGATAATTTACTTTCTCTTTCAGGCAGATTTTAGTATAGAATTAAGTGGATTAGAGTGGACAGAGTTGTGTGTTAACAGAGCTGTTTTAAACCACAGTGGAGCGGAGATAAAATAGTTTCATACTGTTTAACTCAACATCTTGTTAGAGATTTTTTTCCTCTCAAAAGTTTAAGTTGAGTTTGTCAGATTGGTGCAACCTAAGTGTTAACACAGACACTTCCTCTTGCCATTCAGCAAACTCTGCTCCGTCTGGAGGAAAGCAGGGCTCTGCTAGGACCGCTCCTGGACGATGGGAAGTTGCTGCGGGCAGAGGCCTGGTTTGCTGCCCCGGTCGGTCAGACAGGAGGCGCTCTGGAGCTGCAGTGGAAGAGCATCTACAGCCGGACGGAGCAAGAGATCCAACGCTGCCAAGACATCCAAGAAAGCAGGGCCAGGTGGGTCAGACCCAAAATGACTCATGTAAACGGACAAAAACTACCATCTTTATCATCTAAAAGCAGTGGCAGAAGGTCTAATTATTGCCAGGGTAGTAAATTACATTATCTAAACTGTCAGCAGTTTTGTCCAGTGTGTGGGGAGAGCCAGAGCTTTTGAGGAGCTCCTTGGCAAAATGATTTTGAACGATTTTCAATCCTTTTTGTGGAAGTCTCACTTCATTATTTCTTTGTAAGAGTCATGAGCACTGGTCTCAGTAGTGTAGGGCAACGTACATTTTAGATATGAATCTCAAGGGGCATGCAGATGTTGTTATAAAACACGTACTGAGAGTACACTTTCAGAGGATTTATGTATCCAAATGTCCTTGCAGAGGAAGAGAAGCAAAGCCTTGACTGCGAAATCTAAAAGCATAAATAATTATTAGTGTGTGTTATCAGATTTAATAGCACAGTTTGGAACGCCGTGAGATTCTAACCCATTAGGCTTTTTAACTGTGACCTGAAATGTGCTCTGGGTTTCAGTCTGTAAATCTGAGTGAAGTCTCTTCAGAAGTAGTTACTTGAGTGAGTCACTACATTAAAGGAACAACCAGAAAACAGATTTTAAGAGAATCTAATAAGAGTGAATAGAAGTCTGAACAAAAAACACATGCCACTGACAGTAACCTCCTGTATTCATTATCGCTAATGGACCCATGCCAGAGTCCTTACTTCATCCTCCCTGTAGGTGCCGTCATATTCTGCTCCACTTCGTGATCTATGTTTTTTTTCTCTCGTCCACCCACAGATTCCAGGCTGACTTTGCGTCGGTCAGTGGATGGCTGCTCGGTGCCAACGTGAAGACTTTGTTTGGTCTGGCAGTTTCTTCTGGCCCGAGTCAGGAGTCTGTGCAAAGCAATTTGGTAAAGCTGCTGGTAAGGTTCTCCATCCTACTCGTCAGATGACTTAATCACATAACAATATTATGTACTCTGTATCAAAGGTCTTGGGCAATCTAATTAAAAAAGATAACAACTTTTTCTACCAAGAAGCCACAATTGTGCCACTTGTAATGTTTTTAAGCGAGGTGGTTCCTATGCTTCTTTGGACCTTGGCCGCTTTTTCACTGTGACTTTGATGAAATTCAAAGAAACTGTGGCCAGATAAAAACTGTGTAGAGCAGGTAAGCAGTTTCTGAAAAAGGAAAAAACGGCAGCAAAAACCTGACAGGGGACTCGCAGTTCATCCGTCTGCTGTTGGCCCAGGCCTCACAGAAATTGTCTCCCTATGATAGCGGCTGCCAACAACTCCTTTTCTGAGAAACGAAATGAGGACAAAATAACACAAAAACTGGACCAAAATCAGTGGCAACAGCTATTATGGAGGGATGAATTCTTCCCAGACCTCAACATCATTAAAGCAGTGTGGGATCATCTGACAGGGAACGGAACAAAAGGCACCTGATATCCAAGGAAGAGCCTTTGGATGTCCTTGAAGAAGCCTGGAGAAGTATCTGTGAAGAGTAATAAAGAAACCACAACCTTGTCTGAGAGCGTTGAGGCTGTTATGTAGCTGTAAATCCGCACATAGTGACAGATCTGCCCAGTACTGGCCGCTTTCTTCAGGTAAATATTTAAATCGAGTGACCGGCTTCTGTGACCTAATCCCACAGGACTTCTCTTTGGACGTGGAGGCCATGTATCTGCTGAAGACGTCTGTTTCTCAGCATGCTGCTCGACTCCTCTACCTAACGGAAGCCGACTGCCCTGCACTGCGAAGCCAGCTCACCCAGTTAGAGGACAGCTGGAGCCAGCTGACCTCTGACCTGTCAGAGGTGCAAGACCGTCTGCAACAGGTGAAGCATTTTCATTTTCCGACTCACCTCGAATAAATACAATGTTTGAATGTGCCTGGGCTGAGAGATGAATGGTCAATAGTAAAGTTTTCTCAGTAATGCGAGATGCATTGCTCACTTTGATCGTCTGCCCATCAGTGGCTTCATCATTCCTCAAATTGCAACTAAGTGCTGTTTGTTATAAAAGACAACTTGGCAGAGAGAGAAATCCCTTCCAGTGAGGGGAGTGTTAACTGAAACCCTGCTGGAATAAATGTGGGGTGATTGAGTTTGGGGAGGAAAAGAGAAGGAGGTCACGCTTAATTTTTCCTCACTATCCATCACCAGTGAATGGAAACAGATATTTGGCACCACTTTAATTAAGCAGATTTTGCCAGTTTTGTCTTTCGGGAGGTTTAGTTTGATGTCATGATATTTGGCAATCACCTCGGCAGATGATGAAAAGATCCTAAAGAAAGATTTAACATGGTGGGAGGGCACTAGATACACTTAAAGCAGATGTTTGATGCTCAATTACCTATTTAGATATATAAAAAATACACATGTAATGAAGAAATGAAAGATTAATAAAAGAGGCCTATAAAGTTGAACTCTCTTTTTCCTGTTGAATTATGTCGGTTAGCGTCTGCTGGCAGCACAGCAACCACTGAAGCTGATTTCTGAAATGGAGAGCTGGCTGAAAAAAACGGAGGCTCGACTGAGCCAAGAAAAAGAACAAGTACTGGAGGCAAAAAATGGAGCTCAGGTCACAGAAGTTCTGCAGCACTATCAGGTACTCCAATGTCCTCCTCGTTCAGATCTGGTATTTCTGCCATTTTGATTTTATTACACATCAAAGCCATGCTTGATCACAAACTGCAACAGCCAGTCTGCTACCAAAAAAAAAAGCAGCCACCACTTTTTGCATCAAGAAATGCTTTTTCCATCATATTTTATTGATTTTTATTAGCTTCTTACACAGTTTTAACATTAAATGCAAAGAGGACAAAGTAAGTGTTAAAAATTAGGCAATTACTGTCAAATTATGTGACTGTTTTATTTCAGTTATTTGTGCTTAATGCTGTTTTGTAGGTGTTGAAGACAGTTGTTGCCAAAGGGCAAATCCTGCTCGACTTCCTGTTTCAGTCTGGACCACAGATGGTCGGAGCAAACGTCCAGGCCCTCCGATCAAAAGGCACAAAGTCTGCAGAGAAACTTGGCTCCATCCGATTGCAGTGGCTGCTTCTTCAAAGAGAGCTGGAGATTCAGGTCTGCGTTTCACCATTTGTACACCACACTGTTCTGGATCTTTACCATACAACAGTAACAGTTGTGTCATTTTTGGCTTAGACATTTCCAATAAAAATAACACCCAATAGATAACAATAATGATAATATCTCTCGGATGAAAAAGCATTAACCCAGTTTAGTTTTTTCGCTAAAAGAATGGAGACATGTTAATACCAAATGTACAATAAAAGTGCAACTCTCCAGTTTGTCCTGCTAACCATGAATCAGCCGCCGTTTGGCTCTGCCTCTTTCAGATTCATGAAGCTGAACAGATACATCGCACTTGCGCAGACCGAGAGAGACGTTTGCAGAGTCTTCTCGGCTGGACAGAGCAGCAGAAAAAGCAGCTCAAACTGTGGAAACGGCCCAGCAGCCAAACCCTAGCCTGCAAGGCCCTTCAGGAGTGTGAGGTACAGACACAAAGGCACACACATGAGCGTGCAGCGTGACGTATGTTGTGCATGATGTTCTCCTCTGAGGCGGAGCTGCTTTTTGTCCTTCAGGCTGTTTTGGGGAAAGTAAATGAGGTTTCTGACGCCCTGCAGAAGCTAAAAACTACACGAGTACAGGATGAAAAGGACAAGAGGCACCCGAGTGATGTCAGCTTCTGGAAACAAGCTGACAGTGTCTGCCATGCTTGTGGGGATCTTAGCCATCAGGTAGAAGCTCATTTGCAACTGATGCAGAGAAGAGAGTGTTCCAAAGAAACGCCTTTACGTCACGGGATATTAAATCTGGTTCATGGTCCTCAGGCAAATTCATACATAAGGAGTCACTTTATTGAAGACTTGTTTTTCTGGTTGTACAGTTGCTGTTTGAGTTTAGTAGCTTTTAAATTGACTTCATTGGTCAGTTTTGTTACTTTTGTCAAAATTGGTTTGCCTTCAGGTGGAAGTGCTGAGACCGACTCTTCAAAGGTCCATGGAGGAGTGGGCATGCTTCCATAAATGTCTGAGGGATTTTCGATTTCACACCAACAGGGTACGCTGTTCCCTGCAGCGAGACCGAGCTCCTTTCTTCTCACTTAAACAGGTTGAAGGATACTCAGACCTCCTCCAGGTGAGCGATGAAACTCGTCTTTATAGCTCCTGGTTTACACATTTACACATAAAGATTCCAAATCCAAGCCCACATGCATTTCATTTTAATAACCACCACATTAATCTGAGGACTAGCTCTTACGCTTTATGGCCTGTGGCACAACTTTATGGCTACAATTTGAAAAAAGACAAAATAATCTTTTGTGTTCCCCCGGTGCAGCAAGCTGTAACCACATGCAGTTAAAAGGCCTTCAGTCTAGTTTTGACAGGCTTAATAAAAGCGTGGACTTTTATGGACTACAGGCTGTCGGTTCTTTTCAATCTGCGTTCTTACTTTAAAAATGTACTTATGAAAGGCGAATATGAAAGAAAAGTGTTTTTCTTCACACAGAATCTCCAGGTGACGGCTGCAGAGGGGGAAGAACTTTTAGTAGCTTTGGAAAAATCCCATCAAAGGCTGGCAGAGACTCTTCATCATTTAGACGAACAGGCACTCAGCGCCCAAGTGGAAGATGAGCGGAAACGGTTCGTGGGGTGAAAATACATTACACACGACCACATTTTAATAGAAAACATTAATCTTATGATAAATCTCTGAGTAGACTGACTTTCGATTTACACTTTTTCCGGACCTGAACCTGACTTTGGGAGTGCAACACAAAGTTGTGGTTCATCACAAAATTGTATTTGAATTTTGCAATTATTTTTTTAGGTTTCCTATTTAAAGTCAATCCATGCCAGTGTAATAGCTATGACTACACTGAATGTAATCTTTGTCTTTGTCCTGGCTTGTCAGGTGGAAAGACACAGTGCAGGAGATAAAGGATGAATACGCAAAAACTGGAAAGACACTTTCGTTCTGGCAGAAATACGCTCGCCTATCCGATGGTTGCTCTCATCAGCTGCAACACCTTTGGCATGAGTGGGAGAAGTTATGGAGTTCTTCACTTTCACCTGAGAAGGATGCAGAAGCAATGCTTTGTTCAGTCAAAGTGAGTGAGAGACTTTTGGTGTACAGGATGATTGTGTTAAAGTGGTGATTTTTCAGTCGTTAACAGATATGTTAGGTAAATTACAGAGGTGCTTCCCATTCAAGTCATACAATGATTCAGCCCTTTTTTTATTAGTAGTTTTAAAAAAAGTAGATGTATCCTAAATGAGTTTCAGCCCCCCTGCTACCCTACCAGTAGAGAAAATGGATGGACGGATATCTCAAATGTTTGAACTGGAAGTAACTTTTGAATCACAAAGGCGCAGTTTTTATGTAATAAGGCTGCTAAAAGAAAAACTCAGCACTGAAAACTGACCACAGAGGGGAGTTGCTCCACTAGGGAGCAAGGTCAGGCTCAAATCTTTTTCACAGTAGCCAGTTGCAGGTTTTCGAAATCATTAAATTCCCTGCTTGACTCACCCTGTTCACAGTGCAGGTTCAGAGAGGCCGCATATTACCTTTGCAATGTAATTAAATGTTGTTTTTCTCAGTGACTGCCCTCCTGTTTGTGGAACGGAACAGTCTGTATGTACTTAGGGGCAGAAATATCTGTCCTGCTCTGTGTTTCCCCCCCTGACCGCTTCCCCTCCCATCCACTGTCCCAATAACATGTTGTTTTGCTCTTTCCATCAAATCAAAAAGTTTCAGAGCTTTTATTTATGTCGGCCTAATTGGTTCTCCCCCTTTTCCATTTCATAGCACACAATATTGTGTATTTTACCGGAGCACTTGAGTCAGCATCATTTGAGGGGGGGAAAAAGTTCAGTTTTTTTCAATTTTCCACAAGCATTGAAAAAGTTATGTTGTATTCTATGTGTTTCTTATTTTTTCAGTGTGCATCATTTTAGTTAGTTGAAAGACATGGATAACATATTGTACCCTTTCAAAGCAACCAAAACAACAGCCTCTCTGGAACTGAATCATTAAAAACAACATTTATTTTTTGTTTTTCCATCAACTGCTCATTTTTCCCACAGACATTACAGGAAGCTGCTGAAGACTTACAAGCTGCTGTAGGAGATGTGCTGGAGGTATCTAAACCTCTTACTGGGCAGCTCGAACCATGCGCTGCAAATTTAATCCAATCAAAAAACAGATTGCTGTCACGTGACATGCTGCTGTTGAACCAGGCAGTTATGGGAAGAAAGAGGTTCACTGAGGTGAGACCACTGGTCTGACATGTGTTTCAACTGGTCTTTCTACAACAACTAATGTTAGAGAAAGACAAGTGTGTGTTTCAGTGTGTTTCATTCACACAGCATAGTTTTACAGAACATTAAACTTCCCAAATCCTGGCTGTACTCAAGTAAATCCATTATTTTTCTCTCCATTTGCAGGAAGATTTACAGCAACAGAAATTGTATCAAACTCAAGTGGAAGCTATTGTAAAACAGATGGAAATCTCACAGCAAAAACTTCAAGATAGCAAATCTAACACCGACTGTGTACAGGTTGGCCATACTACAATCAATCCGCCTTATTATGCTTTTTTATCGAATATTTACATGAAACTGAAGGGTTTTCTTGGATTTGCAGCAGGTTCTTCTGGAGCTCAGTGGCCTGTTTCCATCACTAGTAAACATTCAGGAGAGTGGCTATGTTAATCTGAACAACCAGGAGAGGGACAGACTGCATGCACTCAGCAGGCAGTGGTCAGAAGCCCTGAGTCGGGCATTAGACATGAACAGGTGAGAAAAGCTTGATTCTTACTCCATATTAGGTTTTGATATAAATTCACTTCAGTGTGTCAAATTAATTCATTGTAATTGTAACTTTTTCTTTAAGTATTGTTTCGTCCTGAGATTTATTGTGTTGTTTAAAGGAAAGACGTTGAGATACTTTGCTCTGTATTTTGCAGAGACTTTCATCAGAAGTTGCAAGACTCCCAAAACTTTGAGGAGAAGTGTACAAAACTGAGGTCCCTCCAAGAAAAGCTGGAGCTGGAATCGGTGAACAGAAAATCTCCAACTTACTCAAACCTCCTAGAGATGCTCGCTGTCCATCAGGTGCAAAACCCTTTTTAATTTCTCGGCTGTTGTTTGATTTGATAGACTTTTGACTTTGAGATGTGTATTTGATTGACTGAACTGGCCAACATTTAGCAAGGAACATGTTTTTATTTTATTTTTGCTTCTTTTGAAACTCCAGATTTAGCTAAGATTCTGTCAGAGTAAAGGAAAGCATTGTGTAAGTGTTTAGGAGGCTTGCACATGGACTGTGAACAGAACAGAACAGAACAGAAAAACCTGAACTGTATTTTGATCATATCGTAAATTCCCTTAAAATAAAAACTCTATTTTGATGCTCTGATCTTGGGACCAGGCCTACTTAGGATAAACGTGGTGCCTTGTGATTAAAAAAATTAGTGATGTATGAATGTCAGTGTGTCCTGTCTCCTGTACACCTCACACTCCCACAGAGGCTCCAGGCTGAGGTCATTATTGGTCATCGGCTCCTGCAGGGCCTCCTCGTAGAGGCCGTTGAATCCATGGAAAAAGACACAGGAAAGAAAAGGTCATTAATGATTGTTTTGAAATGTTGAAAACTCGGGCATCTGATGCCATCTAACTGTCTTTTCTTAAAACTTTGTCTTTGCATTTTTTTGTAAAAATTTAAATTTAAAACATTTTGTAGATAAGAATATTCTCATTATGCATGTTTCTTCACTGGCTCATTAAGAGAGAGCTGTAGGAAAATTCGAAACCATCAATGTGAACTTCAGGTTTGAAATAAATTGACATTTGTTGTCTTTTTCCAGTTGCTCTTTGTAACTGCGCCCTTTTCTGCGTTACGAGAACAGTTTTGTGGTTTTATATTTGCTTGCTTAGATCTGAGCTCCTGGCTCAAGTGTGGTGTATAAAAAAGAGCTGGATCAACTCTGTGGCTCTGACTGGACAAAACTGGACCCTGACAAAGAAACAGTTGCTCCGGTGGAAAATCTATCGTCAGGGTTCGAAACTTCTGTGGAAGCTGCTTGGGGTCATGGACACTGTGCTACCCTCTACTGGGCCGTTTTCACACACACTGCATCAGTTACAGAGCTGCACTGATGCTTACCAGGTTAGTAAGTTTGGACATCACTGGAAATGTCCTAAGCTCTTCATTTTTCCCCTTTAGCCCTTCAATAACTAAACAATAAATCATGTTTACTGACAGCTGGAAGAGTCCAAAAAGAGACAACTGTTCTGTTTCAAAGCACTAAAGACCTCATCTGCCTCTCTCTCCATTTTTAGTGTGTCGAAGAGTCTCTGGCTCTGCACTTTCCTGTGTACAGCCAGACTGTGGAGGCTGGAAAACATTTGTGCGAAACTGTCACAGTTTTGGAGTGTCAGGATCAAGTTGAGTCAGAGCTTCAGACCTTGGAGGAGGCCTGGGAGCGGACCGGCTCTCAGCTGAGGAGGCACAGGGACCAGGCAAACGTCACCATTACGGTACCTCATAAATACTTGATCTTTTATTATGTAGCCCACAGAGGTCACTGCTTTTAACGGCTGAGTCTCAAAGACAGCATGTGTGACAATGCTGGAAAGGGAGATGGATAGGTCTGATTTGCTGACCCTAATCCAGGACATGATCCCATCTCAAAACACACACATGCTCACAGGAGGGCTGGTGTTTGGTCCCGGCACTGAGTTCCTGCCATCAGAGATCAAAGAGAGGCTCAAATCTCTCCATGATCCACATCCAGAGACAGCTGGTGACCAGTGTCATTCCATCACTGTTGCACAGTGGTGCCTTCACATCGTACCGTTAGATCCTGATAGACAGATGGGAAAAAGAGCAGCCCGTTTTCTGCGGAAACAGATGTTCCCTCTGTGCAGCAAAGGTAGAAAAAGGCTGATATATGGCTGATATTATGTCTGTGTTATAACAAAAGTCTGATTCAAACTGGTGAATGAATACGGTGGCCTGATTTTAAGCAGGTCTCCATGAGCTGTGTTAATCAAACATCTGACTGTTTTGATGAAGGCCAGGGAGAGTGGTCTAAGCTCCTTAAGTGCAACATGATCCACCCAGAAAGAGGCAAATCCCTCTGAGCAACATGTCAAAGATCACACAGAATAATTCGGGAGCCCCCTGTGTGCAAAGGCCACTGCTGCACTGCTTCCTGTAAAGCCCCCGTGATATTTGTTTCAACGCAGACAGACTCTAAAACACAGATCAGCTCATCAGAGCAAAACCGGTTGCTATGGGTTGTGAACTATATCCTCGATTTTAGAAAATTTGCTGCTTTTTTTTCCATTCATTTCTAATTTGTGCAGCTCAACATGGAAAAAAATCAACAACCTCTTCAACAACAAAGATCTTTTCAATATTAGAAAAACGCTGTACCCTGTAAAAGATTCTGTACTGCTTTTTTTCAGAAGTGGTCTGTGTGTCAGAGTGGAATAACCAACATCCACCATGAACTGGATAAGGTGAAGCATCAGCTGGCAGGAGGACTGGGAGGCTCTGAAGAACTTATCCAGGTGGGTTCAAGAAAAAGGACTGTTTCCGACCAAAGCTGATACAGATACAGCACAGTAGTATCCTATCCCAACTCACTATCCCACCTAATCAAGAAACCTCAGCCCTCTGTATTAGATTGTAATTTGCTCATTTTAGGATATAGATTTATAAGTACAAGATGTTTTAATTCTCAGAAAGGAATTAGTTCAAAGTGAGCAGATGATTTGTAACAACGATAATACATTTAAAGAAAATAAGCTGGTAAGCTCTCAGTCTAGATAATATTCATAATCTTTAGGGATTCAACTGATCATCCACTGGGGTTTGAAAGAGTTTTTATCAAATGAGCAGGATGTTAACATCATTTATCAAAAGGGTATTTATCACATGGGTAATGCTCATCTCTAAACAGTTTATTGTGCTCAATTTATTGAGGATGTTGAGAAAAGTTGCCATTCAGACGCAGTTATCACTAGAAAAAATACAATTTGACAGTTTTTGAAGTGTAAAGTTGTATATTAGGCATATTCTTAGGTCTATGCATGTCTGATAGAAAACATAAAGGGTTAGCTGGACTGAAAGCTGGCCTTAGCTCCCCCTCCCCTGAACTCCACCAATAGTCTCCCCCGCCTTATTCACACATGAGAACTTCTAAGTTTTACCCCCCTTTTCCCTTATTTAATACCCATGCTTTCACTCCCCTCCCCCTTTGTACCCTTTCCACCCTCCCCCCCCCCCCCCCCCCAGAGCCCTTTAATCTGTGTGGTCAGTGGGAACATGAGCGAGAGGTAAAGCGGCTTGTGCATACAGAACTTGTACATGGCAGCTTAGTGTGTGCTCGTGTGTTATGCAGGAGACCGAGCTGTCTCTGCAGCGTTCGGACGGCGGACTTAAAGAAGTGACCACCATGAAGATGGAGCTAACCCAGTGTGTCACCGGCAGCGACTCCGCTCTGCTGGAGCAGCAGCTGGAGCTCCTCCACGGCCAGTGGGAAGAACTGTGTCTGAAGGTGAGAACTGGCAAACACTCTGTTTCTATCTTTTTCTTTTTTTAACATTAAAATGAGGCGACACAAAACACACCACAGGAAGGAACTGCAGATAGAACAGGGGTGAGAAAACTTTGGGGTGGAGAGAAGGAGGGAAAAGTTGCTACCAGAGGTTTCCTGCCGGCGACAGGCAACACAAAGCCTCTGCTTTCTTGATGCTGGATACACCCACACACTCACACTCGTTTGTGTGATAAAAGAGCCGGTTTTATGGAGGGAAAATACAGCTTGTCTTCTCATTAAGTCTGCATCCGCCTGTCTCCTCACAGGTGAAAAATGACTTGTTTTGTGAACAATTTGGCTCCAAAAGTTGCCAGAACGCATCATTCTTTGATTAAAAGTGGATTTTAGTTCATTTTTTATCAGCAGTTTTCTCTGCTTGAATAGAAACCATTCGCATTGAGGCTGAGTGATACTGTCCAACATTTCATGCCGTTAATTCTGGACATTGTTGTTGAAAGTAGCTCATAACTGGCTCGCATTCCTACAGTTAAGACTTTTGGCTTAAACACAACAGCACACTTGTTTTTGAGAAATCAACGGTTATGACAGTCTTTGGATGTGTTTGACCGTTATTTGGGAGTTATGGGTCATTTATCCTCACGCTAATTGGATCTCCAGTTAGAGTGGCTGCTTTCACCTGCTCTTGTCTTGGCAAGAGTTAGTGGGATTCCCAAATGTAGCAACAAGAGCCAAGAATGTGCTATGGTGAAGTCTTTTACTGTCTATATATTGTTCTTGTTCACAGTAACTTTTTGAGTTTGAGCAAAATTCCATTTTAAACACTCAGGATCATTTTCTTAAAACCACCTCACTTATTCAAGAAATTACCTTTCTGCCACTGAGCATTAAGAACACATGCATGCTTCATTTCCAATTATATAATGTATCTGTTGTGTGACAATTAAAAATATTAAGTTCTAGAAGCAGAACATTTTAGTCTCTAACAGGTTGTTTTATATGTCTCACTTCAATCCTTTACATGTTCGGGGCACATGAATCTCAGTTCTGGATCACAGTTAACAGGTTGTAGATGGGTGGGGGGAAGCCCCAGGAATAGGTCTAATGAGCAGATGGCTTGGCAGGGCTGAGGGGATTCAGGGGGCAGGCTCTATTGTTAGTGGGATAGCACAAAGTCCTCACAGGCTGACCGGAGCTCACAATACACCCTAAACTCTCCACAGCCCAGAGGGCCCATCAGTGTTAGTACATTAAAACCAAAGCAGGGTTTATTTCAATCACATAAATGTCACTGAGCAGTAAAATGGAGCAGATTCAATAATGCCCCGGGGGTATGCTAAGCCTTTAAATCTTAAAAAGATCACCACCCCCCTCAGCTTCATAATGGGATGTTTTCATAGCATTAAGCTGTCATTAGGAAAATGAACCTTGTTAATTTGATCAAATAGTCAGACTCTTTTGGGGGGTTTCTCTCAATTCAGTTGACTGCCAATGGAGGATTACATGTCCCCATAGCTTTACAGTAACAAATAAATACCATTTCATATTTTTATTGTATTTTAATCTCTTCTATGCCATGTAATCACTTTTATATATTTAAGGGATTTTGGAATGTGCAACTTTTTCTTTTTGTGCCAATTTTCCAAGTAATCGGCTCGTATGACGCATTTAACATGTCTACATATGCATTGTTGGGTCTTAAATATGGGTCACTTTGTTTCCAAAGTGCATACCAGAGGATCATGATAAATGACCTGTTTTAAAATGAATGAACATTCAGAGTTTTTGCCCCTGCAGTTACACTTTGTGTTGTCATTAGTTCCAGCAAGGCTGTCAAGAATTTAAAGAAAAAGGACCCCTTAGGGTTAATGATTGTTTATGTTCAACTTATTTACATAGCGGTTTGGAAGTTGCAGAAAAAATGTTGCTATAAGAATCAATAATCTGCCCCACATATTTATTTTTCAATTTTTTATTTTGAAAAGATGTGTCTCTGCCACCAGGCACGCTACGATGCACATGGGTATTAAAAGTCACTGTTGGTGCTTTCCTTCCAGGTATCCTCACACAGGCAGGAAATAGCCGACCGCCTCAATGCCTGGACCATCTTTAACGACAAGAACAAAGAGTTCCGTGATTGGCTGACTCAGATGGAGAACAAGGTGTGCCACGCTGGAGATCTGAGCATCGAGGAAATGGTGGAAAAACTGAAGAAGGTACGAGGCTGCGGGGGATGATAGACTATTAAAAAAAAAGATGCTATATATTAAGGACTCTAAAATTAAATACGAACTGTTTGTTCTCTTTCAGCATAATTTAAATGGATTTGACAAAGTTTACTGTGATTCAGTTTTGTGTTAATATTATTTTTATATTTGTGTACCAGAGTTTACTTTGATATATATTTTTCATTGTTTTCAAACCTTAACTTTAGAGCTAAATAATGAGACAAAGGTCAAATAGGCCCTAACTAGTTTAGCTTGATGGAAGCTAACGTTGGCATAATTAATGATCCATACATGGGCAATATTTACTGTATAATCCTGTTTATACCAGATGGTGGCCTGGAATGGCGGTGTCTGCCTTGTTCACGTACAACAGAAGTGTTTTCAGTGTCTGAAAAGTCTTTTGTTCTGTCCAAGTATGAAGCTCTCACCTAGTCAACACGATGGTAATAGCTTTGAATATAGCTAAATGAGAATATTGGAATCAGTTGGTAAAGCAATTCAGCCAAAGACGTCATTCCTGGGGTTAATTGGCTGCTTCAGGGCATAGGAACAGGTGCCTGGCAGGTGGAGAGAAGGCGACACTTCACTCTCTGACCGAAATCCACATCTTTTGTGTTTTGCCGGTTATTTAAAGCTGGAGGACATGGGGTATATTAAGAAATACAGGCCCGACTTAATTCCCCTTTTTTTCCCAGGACTGCATGGAGGAAATCAACTTGTTCAGTGAGAACAAGAGCCACCTGAAGCAGCTGGGAGAGCAGCTGCTCTTAGCCAGTGATGAGGCCAAGCAGACCCAGGTCCGCGGGTCGCTGCAGGAAGTCAATCAACGCTGGCAGAACCTATTTTACCACATCGAAGCCAGGTGAGTGCGACCACAGCTGCCAGCGAGGCCGCACAGCGGGGCCCCGCGCTTATGTCAATTAAGCACTTTCCAAGAGAATCTGTTTACAGCGTTCAGGAAAGCATTTAGCAGAGACCGGCACCAAGATGACGGCTGAATTAAAAGTCAGATTGTGTTTGTGTGCGTGTGTGTGTGTGTGTGTGTGTGTGTGTGTGTGTGTGTGTGTTCGAGTTGCATCGGAGTTACTGTGTGCCAAGCTAAATTCACATTATTATCCTCCAACAGAAACAGCCTTAAGAGCCAAACTCCCCTTCTGCAAAAAAAAAAAGCATAATTAAGTCCCGAACCGCTGACAGGATGGCTGGAAGTAGACAATGGCACTTCTGGGTATCCATCCGTGCACCTGCTGTTGTGCTGGCTGTGCCCCGCAGCTGTCAGGAGCACGCCGCTTCTAACGCGCAGACCGGAGAGGTTAAACCCCTGTGTTGTTAAACTGCTGCTGCCCCCTCAAGCAGATGGGCAGTCCAGGGGAAAAGCAGCAGACCCAGACCTCGCCCCCTTATGACTCTAAGCCCCCACCATTGTGAGGGAGGGGGGGGTCACAGAGCTTAAGTCTCAGACAGTACCATATGTCCCCGCGCCCCCGCTGACTCCCCCCGTGCCCCTCAGGCCGCTATTGCCATGAGGGAGGCTGGGATGGACCGGGGAGAGTATGACGGTATGTGTCAAAGACAAAAGGTGCCGACCAGGAGTTCAGACCACACGCTGAACAAAAGAAAAGTGTTGAGCGGATCCTACAAAGTGAGCCTTCGTTTGTTTCCTTAACTGGAATCAGCAGCTTCTGTATCCTGGAAGCTTTCCTAAAGTTGGAGATCTAGTAGATCTTGACTCCTTAAGCCTAAGATTTGGGGACTTATGTTAGTGAGTAAGCTAACTCAAGTTGTTTGATTTAAAGCAGATCATCGTTGACTATATGGTTCTTCATCTGGCCTGGTGTTGTTCAAAATATTACCCTAAATACAGTGGACTCAGTCTACTGACTCAGTAGACAGTAGACACTTACAGTGAAAAGAGCAAGTGTCCGATCTCTGCTTCACCGAAGGCCCCCCTGTGGTCAGCCGGACTTTATCTTAGCCTTCCGACCATCTATCCTCACTCATCCTCCAACTCTTTGCTTTCTGTTCCTGTCCCTCTTCTGACTAGGCGCGCCTGACTGGGTTTTGTGTCTTTGTTTGGCCTCCACATGAAGCTGCTGGTCTTTTGTTATCCTGTCAGAGGTGGAGAGTGGGCAAAAGGAAGAAAGAGGCTTGTTAGTTGAGCTGGAAGGTTACATCTGTGAGGAAGGAGAGTATTTTTTAGGGATAATTAATGTTGACTATATTATGTCTTGGTAACATGGCCATAAACATGTCTTAATGGCTTTGTGTACAACAAAGGGACTGCCCTTTACCAAACACTGTACTTCCATCAATGTCTTGGCAAACTCTCTTTTAATCTTTGAATCCTTTAACACAAATTCAAGCACACATTTAATTAATGTGTAAGACAAGATAAATCCCTTTAAACACTGTACGAACTGCATATTAATGTAGCACTTTGAAATTTGGAGCTATTTAAATTTGATTGGGTGGATCAAAATGTAGGAACAAACATTTTTCAAACATTCCTGGCATTACAGTTCAGCTGGGAATGTTTAAAGACAAGAAATATTTCAGTCTTTTAGAAGGTTCTTAGACTTTACTTACAGTCTACTTTGTTTATGTTTTTTCAGTCCACTTTTTTAATATCATTATTAGATTACAATCTGCCAGGAAAAAGATCATCTAGAAGGACTTTCTGTGGGATCTGACAGATTCTCGAGGGGCTGTTGAGCTTGTTATTACACATTATTGGCCAAAACCAAGCATTAGTCTTACTTTCAGGACAAGTCAGTGTCAGCTTTCTATATTTCACAGCTTTAAGCTCCATAGTTATGTTTTAATTGCTCTTGGAAAATAAAAAGATCTTATTAGAATTTCAGGCATGCAACTAAAGCTTTTCAATAAGTAAAAAAAAAACTCCCCAAAGTGGTGGATATCTAGTTTCTGAAGTCGTAAAATCTAAAGCTGTTTTCGAGTGCAGCACTTAGTCCGGTTGAAAATGCAGCATGTGTTTGGGCCATTTCATTCATTCTTTAGTGGGACACTTACACCCACAGCTGTTTTTAGCTCCTATTATTTTTGATAGAAAGCGTATCCTGGCCGTTCTGACAGGCTCTTCTGGACCTCGACTGGAGAGGAGGGATCAAATGGGAAAATTAACTCAAACTCCAAAATGGGGCACACTTCAGGCTTTTAGGCCTCAGAAAAGACCTTTTATTGTCCCTTGTGTTGCTATGGCACCAGTTAGTGTGGTGCAGCGTGTGCATTCATAGAGGGGACAGTCGCCATGGCAACTTTAGGTCCAGTGAAAGATACCTGAGAGGGTAAGGGTTAGTGAAAAAGGTCTTTCTCTCTTTCTTTGTGCCTTTCTTTTTGGAAATAAAAAGCTTCCTCTCACATCCTTCACCTCTGATTATTTTTTTAAGTTAAACCTTTTTCCAGAAATTACCATTTTTACCTTTTAGTTGATCATAAGCACATAGTCATTTTATTGGATGCGATGGTTGGGTAGAATTTCTTCTGGGTCACCAGGCACAAAGTTTGGGGAGGCCTCTGTTTGATGCTGAAGTGGCTCTAATCCTGCGTGTTTATGTAAATGGGGTTTATTTGGACTGAGGGGGTTTGTAAGATGGCGGGAACGTCTGTGTGTTGTCAGAGTGAAGAAGCTGACGGAGACCCTGGGGACGGTGCAGCAGCTGGACAAGAACATGAGCAACCTGCGCTCGTGGCTCTCTCGCATCCAGGCCGAGCTGTCCCGGCCAATCACCTACAGCGTCTGCCACGAGCGCGAGATCCAGAGGAGGCTGGCCGAGCAGCAGGTAGACCCCCGCCGAGTCCCCACCCCCATCACGCCTGATCATGATCATCGTTTCAGATTTGCTTCCAATTTCCGGTTTTCTTTCGTATATTCCCTGAGTAAGGCATTTTTTTGGGGTTCTCTATCACTCCGTCATACTCTTTGTGTCTGTTTATCATTAATAATTCACATCCGTCCTTTGTGTCATTTTTGGAGGAGGATCCCACTGTCCTCGTGTAAAGCCCTACTGTCTTTTGGACTGATGTTTAATGTATGAGCTCTGCCGTTGTGATGTCCGTCCAGGAGCTTCAGCGGGACATCGAGCAGCACACGGAGGGCGTCGCCTCGGTGCTCAGCCTCTGCGACGTGCTCCTGCGGGATGAGGACGCCGCCCGCAGCTCCGAGGCGGAGAGCGACTCCCTGCAGGAGACCAGCCGCAGCCTGGACCAGCGCTGGAGGACCATCTGCGCTCTGGCTCTGGACCGGAGGCTCAGGTAGGAGCCAAAACACGCCTCTGACACACTCCAATCTCTGTATCAGCAAACTATTTATGGGATCTTACTTTTGTTTCTTAGTCGAGTATCCATGATGAGGTGTTGACACACATTTAACAACTTTTCTGAACCTATTCTTCAGTATTTTGTTCAATAATCTGGTGAATTTGCTTAATTTAGCTCGTCTCCTATGTGAACAAAAAAGGAATCGGTTTAATTCTTCATGTGTTGTTTGAGTAGAGCATTAGTTGCTATCACAGCCACTTTTCCCATCAGCAGTGAGCAGTCACACCAACACTATAACCTCTTGCAGGATCGAGGAAACGTGGTCACTCTGGTGTAAATTCCTGAACGACTACTCCCGCTTCGAGGACTGGCTCAAGATGGCCGAAAGAGCCGCGGCTAACCCAAACTCTGCAGACGTCCTCTTTACCGTTGCCAAGGAGGAACTCAAGAAGTTTGAGGTTCGTCAAAGTGGACTGTTTCTTTATCTGTTTTGTTTTCCCAATAATAAAAATGTGTTTTGTCACTGACAACAAGCACAGTTATTAGTCTTAATTCATATATTACAGGGGTATTACTATTTGAATTTTCCTTTGAATCCATGAGTATTAAGGTATCGTCTGTAATAAAAAACTATTATCGGAAGGTATACACAAGGCCATGTTTGTCCTCATTTGACAAATGTGACTCGTGTTCAGTCTGATGAAGGAACAAAAATTGTCGCCAATAACAGAATTGATCATCACTTCCTCTTCTCTCATTTCCTCTTCAGGGTTTCCAAAGGCAGGTTAATGAGCGGCTGACTCAGCTGGAGCTCATCAACAACCAGTACCGCCGCCTGGCCCGGGAGAACCGCACCGACCGGGCCAGCCAGCTCAAAGCCATGGTCCACGAGGGCAACCGCCGCTGGGACGCCCTGCACCGCAGGGTGGGCGCCATACTCCGCAGGCTCAAGGTACAGTTAACCATGACCCCCGGGTGGATCCCCAGTTTCAGCAAATTTCAACTTTTAAAATAAATAAAACACCATCAAGAGGCATATTAATCCATGCAATGAGCACAAAATGGGCTTTAAAGTCTCGTTCAAGGTATGATTCACTGCTCACTCTCTCACCTTTTCTCTCTCAGTATTTTACCAGCCAGAGGGAGGAGTTCGAAGGCACCAGGGAGAGCATGCTGGTGTGGTTGACTGAGCTGGACCTGCAGCTTACTAACGTGGAGCACTTCTCAGAGAGCGACGTCCATCACAAGATACAGCAGCTCAATGTGAGGCTCCCTGACTTCTTACTGAGCATATCACAGGGCCTCACAATGAGAATGTGTCAAACAAAACCACATCAAGAGTTTTTAAAACAGTCTGGAAAATGGCATGCTGAATGGTGAAAGATTTTATTTTACTTGGGCTGTGATCTAAGGTTTCCTTCAAGAGCCTTTTTGCAAACAGCCAAGACCAGATTCAAATTCCTCTACCGTTTCCTGACTGAGCGTCTGCTCGTACATCTGTCCTCACGCAGAGTTTTCAGAGGGAGATCACCCTGAACACTGAGCGCATCGATGGCCTGATCGTGTTTGGAGAAGGCCTGATCCAGAGGAGTTCCCCGCAGGACGCGGCGCTGATAGAGGACGAGCTGGAGGAGCTGCACTCCTACTGCCAGGAGGTCTTCAGCAGGCTGGTCCGCTTCCACCAGCGCCTCAGTCAGCCCCCGGTGAGCTGGAGCCTGCACTTCCGTCTTTGTGACTCCATTCTTCTTTTTTTTTCCAGTAACAAGCAAACTTTAAAATATCCACTTTCTGTTATTTATGACAGTTGTGAAGATTAGTTCCCTTTGTGCAACTAAACAAAGACACTGAGCATGAAAAACATTGTTGTAAAAGTAAATATTTAGAAAAAGCAGTCTGCTCTAAGCCGCAGCTTGTGCAATAATTGGTATTTTTTAACGTCCAGGCTGCCCACACATGCCTTTCACACCTGTCGTGCATTTGTTGTAGACGACCAACGAGGATCCGGATCTCTCCGCTACGACCTTCTCTCTGGAGTCAAGCTTGGAGCTGATTGGTCGGCCTTGGCTGGGGCGGAACCAGGGCAGCCTCCCGGCCACGCCCACCCACCTGCTGGCCTCGCCCCTGGAGCGCTCGGGCCGGGAGACGCCGGTCAGCGTGGACTCCCTGCCCCTGGAGTGGGACCACACCGGAGACGTGGGAGGGTCCTCATCGCATGAGGATGATGAAGAAGAAGACGAGGAAGAGGAGGAGGGGGCCTACTTCAGTGCATTATCAGGTCGGAAGAAAAAGATGCTCACGCGCTTCTTTACTCTAGTCTAATTTGGGATACGACCCCATTGGCTGCAGAGAAAAAGGAAAATAAAATGTGAAGTTAACTATTAGAGTGTAAATCTGTGGTAGGCTTGAGGCAGACTCTTTATTTCCCTCAGTGCTCTCATCTATGCTGTGTATCTCATTCTTATTTACAGTAACATGATAGAGTGGTGTGGGGTGTCCATTTCCACATGTGGCTTTAACTGCTTGTGTTGTGTTACTGTAGTCCCTCTTTCTGCTTCAGCGTGCCAACTAAAACACTTTGATGAGCAGATCAAAGTTACAGGCTGGTCGATTTATGCATGGTTATCATCTTTACTTGGTTACATTTGTGGTTTGGATTATAATAAATTCAGTCCACAGCTTGGGAGTTCCTCTCCCTGAAGGTCTAAAATGATCCTCATTCGTAGATTTTAAGTTGTGAACTGAGGCACATTCAATAAGTTAAATCTGTTTCCTCAAATCAGGTGACTGGAATCACCATCGGTCCGCAAAATGTTTTTTTTTTTTTTTAACTTAAGCAGAGGCAAAGAGTTACATTTTTTGGTTTTGTTTCGTTTTGTTTCTGTCTCAGTTTCAAGACGCTCTGCGTCTGTCCGTGAGTCTCCAAGATGGCGGTCGTCCGGAGACTCAGAAGTTCAGCTCGACACGGAGGAGCACGCCGACACTGCCCCCGCCCTCACCAGCACTCCCCTGAAGGGGGGCTATGTAAGTCCAAACTGAACCAAACTATCTCACAGCGGGCCGGATATCAGCCCTAAACACGCGTGTGTTGTGTGTCCAGCTGCGTCTCATGTCCCAGTGCAGCGGCAGCATCGAGAACCTGAAGAGAGTCTCCCTGATCCTGGATGACGAGGAGCAGCCGGAGCAGCTGGGTTTGACAGGACTGGCCGCCTCGGATAAACAGTCGGGTGAGCTTCACAGAGAAGATCCGGATACTCCAACCTTTGTTGAGAAAATCTACTGATACAAACCCAAACAGGCTCCATCATTCATTATCGTTAGAGCTCATCTGGAGTTGGTTGTGTTTCCCAGGCGTGATCGAGCGCTGGGAGCTGCTCCGGGCCCAGTCCAGGTGTGACCAGCAGGCCGACCCCGGGGGGCCTCAGCAGCTCCCGTCCGACCTGGATGACATCACTTCCTGGCTGGAGAGCGTGACACCTGAGCTGGAGCGCCTGCTGAAGTCAGACCCGGCTGCTGGTATAGAGGACATGGAAGCCAGAGCCAAAGAGCTCAAGGTAGCGTTCTATCACGAACACAACGCGGCCGGTGACTCATGTTTAATTACACATCGGGATTTTGACCGTTTTAATATGAGATATTTTTAGCATTCTATTTCCCTATTAGAGGCTCATCCTATTATTTTTCTCCCCCCCACCAAAGGAGATGCAAAAAGCATTTGCTCACTACAAGTCCATCATGCTGGCTGTGAATCTGCGAGCAGAGCCAGCTCCTGAGCTGCAGGTGAGGCTGTTGAGCCTGAACAGGGACTGGAGCCGAGCCTGTACGGGCCTCCAGCAGTGGGACGCCAGCCTGAGGAGGACGCTTATGAACTGCCAGGTGAGAAGCACGGGCCTATAGTGGGGAAATACCGTCCTCCTAAGTCGCATTTCTGATTACTGATTACCCTTATCGTTTCTGTCACAGGAGTTCCATGAGACCCTCCACTCCCTGCTGCTGTGGCTGGCTCACGCAGAAAGCCAACGCTACGCTGTGGACATAAGCCAGCCGGACACAGCGGTCAGAGCTCTGCAGCATCACAGCAGCACCCTGACCGTAAGCACTCCTCCAGATCCAAGACGGGTTTCTCTAAGACTAGGAGGGGCTCTGTTCTCTTCATCGGGTCGTGGAGAGGAAGGTGTTGACAAACTGCCCGTTTTTTTCCGCGTGTTTCCCGACCCACAGGGCCTGCGGGAGGAGCTCCGGGCCCGGCAGGAGCAGCAGGCCTCGCTGCAGGCCCTGTGGTCCCACCTGCAGCCGGACGACGGCGCGGAAGAGAGCGCCGAGGCCCAGGAGAAGCTGCACGTGACGGGAGGCAAGCTGAGGCTGCTGCTGGCTCAGGTGGAGCGGGACCTCCGGGCCGTGCGGCTGCGCCTGGTAAGAATAAGCGGCGGCGTTCCGTAATAGTGCACAAAACCGCCCCGAAACCGACTCAACGCCTGTCTTCTCACAGGACGCCCAACGTGCCAGTGACACGTCCCAGGAGGAAGCGCCCTCAGAGAAAGCCTCGTCCCCACAGAGGTACGCAGAGGAGACCCTGTTCCTAACGCTGTAAAGCAGAGGAGCTCACGGTAGTTTTCCTCTTGAGCTAAACCTGATGACCGTGTGTCCTGCAGGCAGAGCAGGGGCTCCTCCCCGCCGCGCTCCTTCTTTCAGCGGGTGCTGCGCGCCGCCTTCCCCCTGCAGCTGCTGCTGCTGCTGCTGCTGCTGCTGCCCTGCCTCATCCCGCTGTCCGAGAGGGACCCCGGCTGCACCCTGACCAACAACTTCGCCCGGTCCTTCTACCCCATGCTCCGCTACACCAACGGCCCGCCACCCACCTGATCGGAAAACGCCTGGAAAAAGAAGCATTTCGAAAAAAAATAGAGAAAAGCTCTCTGCATTTTTAAAAACTATCTTCCAAAGCTTAAATTTTCTATTTTGGTGTCAGACTTTAGGCGTTGAATGGCCGTGAAGAATAACTCAAAATGTCCATGTCTCATGAACAAAACAGGCAGATATTTGATTCATTTATGAAAAAACAGGTTTGTTTTTTATTCATACTTTGAATAACTTGATGTTTTTAGAAAGCATCCTTCAACGTTCGTCATTGGCATTCACATCACAGCTTTTCCCTCGTTGATTGGTCTCCTGCTTGTTGGCTTTTATTGTATTTATTTTTTTAGGCAAAACAGCTTTGATTTAATTCAAATGTATTATGAAAGGCCAATGGGGCAAAAATGCCCATTTAATTCACACGTTTGTCCTTTTGTTTGTAGATTTGAGTAGATGTTAAGCAGACTTTTTAAAGCTTTCTGGTGCACTGTTGAAACACTGTAGATTTAGCAGGATGTCTATGTACAGAATGTAATAATATAATGTTTATTTATAACATAAAAGGTGGATATATGACAGTAAATCATAGTTGTCTCAAATCTTGATTTTCTTTTTCTTTCTTTAGAAAAAAAAAGTTTAGCTGAAACAGTAAAAGTAAAATGACATTGAACACATTGGGAAAAGAAACACACCATTAATGATGGGCAGACCATTATTCGATGCACATTGAACATTTATTATTAAACATTTTAACCAGAAAAGAGCAAAGATCAGTATTATTCTTTTTTCTTACACACAGAGATAAAGTTTGTGGTGAGAGAAAAGGGACAAGGCAAAAAAAACTAAATCACGACCCTTCAAGTGATGCAGATTGTCAAAGCTGCTTGGTGTCACACATAGAAAAATAGTCTTTTATTCAAAACAGAATTTTTCACGAGTGCCGAGTAGTTTTATAAGCAGCAGTGGTCGTGTCTTCACAGAAAATAAGGCAGAGCAAAGACAGGTGCGTGCGGGTGTCTTAAAGCGCCCCTCGATGGTCAACCAGAAGTCTGTTGGAAATCAATTACAGCAGGAAAAAGGCAGTTTCCTTAAAGAAAAAAAAAAACTTAACAGAAAATTTTGGCTGTACTGTCACAAGCTCTCTGAAAGGTGCATCTCTTATATGCAAAAAGATAAACGCTTGACTTCTCATGAAATTAACGGGCAGATTCTATCAAGATGATTATCCAAAAGTCTTTATACTTCCATTTTTTTGGAAATGTTACAATCCAGGATTGATGATAAAATCATGACTATTAACTGATTGAGATTACTCAGACACTTTATGGCTATGAAATCATTTCTTTTGGCAACTTGCTTTTGTTTAAAAACTTTAAAATGGCCTGAAAAAATCCTTAAAAATCCTCAACTTCATCAGGGGAATTAGGCTACTGAAAAATGCAACAGATAAATTCTGTTTGATTCACATTTTAAAGGATCTTCAACAGGCTGCTGGTTGTCATCTCTTGGGGGCATCTTTAAATGTCACCTGTTTGTTACACATCATATACTGTAGCACAAAAGTATGCCTCATGAAAACTGCATGCACACCGACTGAACGGTTTAAGAGGCCTCAGTGTCATCAATTGCTGCCAGAAAGAATGGCTGAAAGTCAGCCGTTACATGGACAGGAACATTCTGACGATATGAGTACAGTCTTTAAAAAACATTGACTGATCACCGGATCCAGAATGAGGTCAGAAAGAAACAATCTAGTTACGCTACACAACATTCCCATTTTGTTACGTTTGCCACACGTACAGTACAGCACTTGACAACGCAAAACCGGGTGGCAAAAAGCAAAAACACGACAAAAGGGGAAAGAAATGCAGATGACGTATGTGAAGGCTTAAGACTAGGATGGCTTTGAGAGAAATGCCCTTTTATACAATACCAAAAATCTGAACAAAGTATTCTGAGCACAGCTCTTTTTGTATCATTTAGTTTAAGGCCAATAGTTGGAATATTACTGTCCATGTAAACAGGCACAGGCTGGAAAGTTTGTAAAGCATTCCGGTTTTGTCTTTATTCCTGCATAAATCCAATCAAATTGGATGAAAAAGCAGATAAAGAGAGTCTAATTTATTGAATTAATCAAAAGCACCTGAATTTTGAGTGAAAAACATTATGCATCATTTAAATGTTTAGTTTAGCCTCCACACCAAAATTCTATCTACAAAAAGAACAATTTTCACCTGCTTGGAAAACATAATGTTATCCGAGCATAACGGGTAACATCTGGACTTCCTTATGTCCACTTTCAGAGACTGGCTAGTCTGTGTGGTCACAGAAAAAACGTCCATCACATTTGTTAACATGGCTTTATGCAAAGCCATGGCTCAGTTTCCCCTGACAAGGGGTAAACAAAAAGCATTATGGGGGGGGGGGGGGGACACTGCTTTTTAGCAGACTACAATAAACCCCCAATTGAGGGTTTCAGGTCAGATTTATGCAGAAACATGTTCTATGTTCTAAGGTGAAGGTATAGGATGCAGTGAGTGAAGCCACGCCTCCAGACTGAACCTCACAGATTAAATACGCACAACGTTTAAGCTCGGTCAGGTGCCAGCGGTGGTGAAAGCCAGTGAGACAGATTCTCCTGTTGGTTCTCAGGTTTCTGTTCCTACCAAAAGGCAGACGGTGCCGCGGGGGTTTGCCTTCCAAATAAGTCTCCAGACAGCAGGTGTTTGAGATCGACCAGTGATGGAGCAGAGATTCCAGCTCTCAAACCTTCGCAGATTGTTCTGAAAAGCACCTCAACAGTCCTGGGCGCTAGCAAAGGGGGGAACAAAACCAAAAAAAAAAAAGTCCTTGCATTTGAGTGCTAATCCTACTGCCGGATTTCTCCTGGGGCTCCAGCACTGCTGGGGGTCCAGGTGTTTGAGGGGGGGACGGCGGGGCCGTTCGGGCGGGCGGGGGTCTCCGGCTGGTCAGCGGCGGCGGCGGCGTCCGGCCCGGGGGGCCGGCGGGGCAGGCGGGAGCTGTGCATGATGTGAGCGTCCAGCATCTCCAGCAGCAGGTCGTACAGGGGCACCATGTTCTTCATCTTCATGCAGTGCAGGTGGTCCATGCCCTTGTTGCTGCGCAGAGACCGACCACAGCGCGGGTCAGCACACAGAGCAGGGGGGGGGGGGGAGGGGGTAGGGGTGGGGGGGGGGCTCACCTGACATGGCGGATGTGTGAGAGCAGCATGAGCAGGTGGGCCAGCCGGTTGTACTGCTGGCGGAAGGGCAGGCCGCTCTTGGCGATGGCCCACACCAGCGCGTCCGTCACGCCGTCCAGCAGCCGCAGCAGCTGCGAGCGGCTCTGCAGCTCCCCCCCGCCCTCCGACGAGCTCAGGCACATGTCTGCCGCCGGACGCAGGCCGGGACAGGACAGAGAGGTCAAAGGTCAGACAGCTTGCTGCTGTGCAACACCTGATGTAACACTCTAACCCACAAAGAATGAAATACGTCACTATGGCTGACAAAGATCTGATAGAATGGAGGAGATCACTGGTAGAAATTAGATTTTTCTTTTTTTTTTTTTACTAATTATCTGACCTTTGAGTCTTTCAAAACACTTTTTAAATAATGCCTTTGCTGCTCCTTAAAAATATTTATGATCTAATGGTTTTGGAGAAAGTAAGTTTGCACAGTTAAGCTTATTCATGAATAATAACAGTTTGCACTCAGGCTTCAAAGCACTTTAACACAGAGCTGGCACCTCTTAAAGGTGATGAGCGACATTCTGCTGACTAGAGCTTTTAGTCCTGTCAGATTTAAGGCTTCCTTCTCATCTGCATTTACACGCCCGTCTTCTCAAGAGACTACGATGTGGAAAAAGCCCGACGTAGCCTGTTTGTTTTCTCGCATTCTCTCAGCCTCTCTCCCCGTCTGTGAACTCAAATGTGTTTTTTCTCGTACTGATGACACGTGCGCTTTTTCTCTCTCACCCGCAGACATGCAGCATATCACAAATGCGGAGGCCCTGGGAGAGCACGGCTGCCCACGCAAACAGGCTCACTCACTGGAGTTAAGGAGTATCATGGCCTTGAGGCAGACGTATTCCTCCCTCTGCAGCTTGAGCTCTCTCACTCTGGACGTGGCAGCGGTCAGCATGTCGAAGATGTCGGCGAAGCCCTGGACACAGTTGCCCTCCTCTCTGCCACAGAGAGAGACAAACAAGAGCCGTCAACGAGCGTCTCACACTTCTGATTCCAGCCGCGGTCTGAGACGCATAAGTGAGATTTTAAAAAAAAAGAAAAAAAAGCTCAAACGCTTGTTCGTAAGAGATGAATAGGGACGGTACCTGCTCAGGCTGAGGTCAGGGGAGAAGATGAGCTTCCCTGGATGGTCCACTGACCTCCACATCAGGCCGATCATCAGCACCTCCAGCCAGCAGCACTCCAACAGGTGCACCTGGTCTAAGAGGCTGAGCTCCACAAAACCTAAAAACAGGCCGGGCAAAGCCAATCCCATTAACGGTGTGGAACAGGACAGAGGAGGCCAGTAAAGGTGGGATTTTGCGGGCTGCTCGGCATCCCTGTGCAGGTCCTGTAAAGACTCTCATTGTGACAGATCTAGTCTTAGTCTTAGTCAATAGTCTGTCAGTAAACTTAAAGAGACTGAGACTGAGACTGAGCTGAGTGAGAAGGAGACGGGAAGTCCTGCAATGTGACACTTCAGCTGGTCGTTTTTTTTTTCTTCCCCCCTTTCATTCCGCTGCATTTCCACTCTCAAAAAGGCTCTGCTAGTCATAGCGAATAAGAGGCAGCAGAGCCAGGATGCTGACGATGACTCCAACACACCGCTCAACAGGAAATGAAACGCGCATCAAACACTTTCTGCACATTCCTGCTCCCACTCAACCACAGCCAGAAGCTGCTCTGCCAGTGTGAGATCTGCCACATGGAGGGGAACCGGCGGCCTGTGTGGGACCGGAATGAGCTCAGGGACCGTGGTGAGCTCGAGTTTATTTGCACGGTGTGCTAGATCTGATAACCGGGTGACCAAATAAGTGATTGTGGTGGGAGAAAGGGTCACTTTGGGTTAAAATGGATTTCTGGGTCATGTTGGGAGGTTTTCTTTCAGGTCCAAACCAGCACGATGTGGTTGTGCTGCCATTAGTGCGAGTCTCAGCTCCACACAGTGACCATGGTGTCGCAGGTCATTTGCCGGTCTTCAATTAAGAGCCCGTCGCACAGCTTCACAGGACCCGAAGCTCTAGTGCTAAACAAAGCGGAGACCATTACGGCGTCTGGCTGGCGCTCGTTAACTCAGAGCTCTGCTCCGGTCTGTTCGGAGGAGAGATCAAATTCACGGGCGTGCAGTTTTAATATCCCCGGGTTAAAAAAAACACAAGCAAATACTGCCCGCTATTGGCCCGTGAAAACCAAAACACGCATTTTCAAAATGGGATTTTACATAGACGATAAACAATTTTAGAAGCAGAAATTAGCAGATCATGGTCGACATTTACACACACACACACAGACACACACACACACACACACCTGGAATCTTCTTGGCCCAGCTGATCATGTGAACCAGCTCCTTGTCAGCCAGGTTGGTCAGTGACATCATCACGTTGGCCTCGGTCAGCGGCCTCTTCATGTCGTTCATGAGGTAGATGTCCGGCGGCTCGGCCTCCATGATGCGCTCGATCAGCTGCTCTGGGCTCAGCGCGGGCGGGGGGGGCTCCTCCGGCGAGGCGCCCGGCGGGGCCAGCAGCCCCTTGGGCCCGCTGGTCTTGCCGTTAGTGGCCAGGCGGGCCACCCGCCTGACCGGCACGCTGCGGCAGCCCCCGCGCTCTTTGCGGATACCTGAGAAAAATAGGAAGCCATCTGCGTTTCTCTAGTATTCTGTCCCACACTCCCCACCGGCTGTTAAGCTCCAGTCCAGATGTTCCAGATGTTTGAATAAATAAAGCAACAGCACAACTTTACTCTTCTGGTAAAGTCCGTATATAGAGTTTGAGAAGATATTATTTCTACTACATAAATTCTTCAAATCCAAACTGTTCCACTTGCAAAGTCTCATTTTGAGTTTAGACTTTTATTACTGTTATGGTTTAACTTATTTATTTAGCTGCAAGACTATAAATCAAACTATTCTTGCCAGATTGAAACAGAGATACTCCGGGGTGGACGTTTGACGATCGTCAGAGGGAGAAAAAGAGAATGAAATGACTCTTAAGGGTGAAATGGAGGCAGACTCACCACATTTGGTCATCCCTACTTCGTAGCATTTGCGAAGGCGGCACGCCTGGCAGCTCTTGCGGCGGTTTTTGTCTATAGTGCACTGATTGGTTGCTGGGCAGATGTAGTCATTATGTCCTGAAATGAACAAAGGATTGGATCAAACGGGAGGGAAAAATGTACCAGGATCCAGACCGGGTCGCGTCTCTGCACAATCCGGCCAGAAAAATTAAAAACATGCAGACCAGCGGAAAGAGAAACGAGTTCCTGCTAATTCCACGAGGGACTGGAGCAGTGAGCAAATCAAGCAGCTGCAAAAGAGCCCTGTGATCAGTGCACGTCCTCCAGACCAGAGAAGCACAAAACCCCTGAAATAAACAGAACTGAACTATCAGACTGTGCTTTTGTGATTTGCCGGAAAAAAAACAAGAAAAAACTAAACGAAAAACAAGCAAAAATATGTAAATAATCTACAGTCTCCGTGTCCGTGAGCAGCTCTGCGGCGCGCACTGTGAGAAACAGCAGCACTTTGACCCAAATGATAAGAGTGTTACAGCGTCCACCAGCTCAGGGTCATCTCAGGACAACAGCCTCTTCACCAGCCATCTATTCTGACCCACTAAACTAAACAGACCCACCCTTGAATGCCCTGTTTTTTCTGCTTCCAACTATTGCCGAGTCATTCGTCTGAAGGAGTGACTGCGGTTTCTGCAGACTACGGTCGATTCAGACCTTCTCTGGTCGGGAATGCTGGACACCCGTGCGGTTCATCCACTGGCAGTTTCTGCCTCCTTGTGTCCTCACCTTGGATGCTCCTCTTGAAGAAGGCCTTGCAGCCCTCGCATGACCACACCCCGTAGTGGTAGCCCGAGGCGTAGTCGTGGCACACGGCGCAGTAGTGGAGGTCCGCCTTCCCGCCCGACGACACCAGGCCCTCCTCGCTCTCCTGGGAGCGCCTCCTCACGCTCTTACTAACGGACGGTTTGTTGAGAGGCAGCACAGCGGAGACAAAGCAGAAAAGTCTACACCGACAGAATAACGACGGACCCAAACTGAGCTTCCAGGCTAAAAGGAGCTCTATGCGACAGGTTTTCTCACATGCCGAGTATCGTCTTGATCGCTTAGTTAAAAATCAGTGCTCGTTCGGTGGCCGGGATGATCGGTTTCCTGCCTACCTGGAGGTTAAGACGCCGTCCCAGGGGCTCTGATGCGGCTGGCCGTGCTGAGGGAGGGCCTGGGAGCAGTGCAGGGGGATGGAGGGCCCCACGTGGCCGTGGCCGGGCCAGAAGAGCGAGGCGTTGAGTGACTGGTGGACGGACGGACACTCGGCCACGTTGGGGCCGGCGTAGCCGAAGAGGGCGGGGCCGTAGAAGGGGATGGCGGGGAAGTCGTGGCCCAGGTCGGTGTAAGGGGTGGGGATGCAGACGGGCTGGCCGGTCTCGTGCGACAGGCCCGGCGAGGGGGGGCCGAGCACCGGGGAGAGGACGCGGCCGCCCACCCGGCTGGAGTCCACCTCCTGGAGCTGCAGCAGGGGCTGGTGCTTCTCAGGAGAGGAGGCGCAGGCCATCGGGGAAAAAAAACAAAAACAAAACAAAAAAAAACAAAAAAAACTACACACGCGCTCGGTATCACCAGCAGTACGACATCATCGGCTGGCCGAAGCGGCGCCGTCCCCCTGCTGTCGAGATCACTTCACCGCGTGCATCATCGGAAAATCTGGACTCGCTCCAGGAAGGAAGATGCCAGATCCAGCTCCACTGACCCATATGTTCCATGTGAACTCACATCGGCCGTCCCCGGCTGATCAAATGTGTCCAGCTGAATGCGTTTGGCTTTGTTTTGACTCTACTGAGGGTTATACAGATCCCACGATCGGAGTGGGGCCGTCAAAGGGGTCCTCCGCACGCCGAGTGGCTCCAGCCTCCCATCCTGCAGCGGCCGCACACGGATCCCAGCCAGAGCTTCCACCTGGACCAGAGAGAGAGAAAAAGCAGAGAGGTGACAAACCGAAGCGCTCGAGCTGAGCTGGTTCCAAGCCGCTTCACGACTTTGTCGTCCCGCCATACGAGCGCTGTCAGATACGGGACAGTCAGGGGAGGGACGCCAGAACTTTGACTGTCAAAGAAAAGCTAAGAAAAAAAAAAAGTCATCCTCACAGAACATCTGGTAACTTTCATTTCATTTAGTGTCATTTCTTTGGGCTCACTGCACACCACCTCTTGGAAAAGAGATTCTTAGGTTAAGTTTTTTTTTTAAAGTTAGGATTTGGCCACAAAAATCTAGTCAAGTTTAAGTCTGCGTCTAATAGATGCGACTTCTTATTTTACCCAGAAAGGACTCACAGACGGAGGCGGCAAAAGTGACACGTCACACAGGAGGTGATGATGCAAAACAGAGGATGATGGAAACTGTAGGTAGAAAATAAAGACATCTGTATCCCTTCAAATACTTTGGTTCAAATTCAAACCGGGGGCATCTTTTCAAAACAAATCCCAGATCTGATGATTGATAGCTCGCCACTGGCCTCCACAGGATATGAAGCTTAGTGAAGGCCTCCAAAAATGTCTCCTCACCCGGAATTTCTTTGGAAAGGAGACGTTTTCCCCTCTTTCTTCAAGTGCAGTGTTGTGTTGAAATAAATGGAGAGGAAACACTGAATGGGATTTACGATGCCCTCAAGACGGACAGCCGGTGGATGAATAAAAGCCGTGCGCGTTTGCGTCTCGGCTCAGCAATGTGAGGACATGTGGGTCCCACGGTTGAGTCGGGTGCTATGTCAGGCCAAAAAAAGTCAACAGTCCGTAAAAGAAGCTGGAGCTTGGCAGAGTCGGTATAAAATACGCAGCACCCAAACTGACAGCAGCTCAAATCAAAATGACGATTAATTATACGGATCGGTCCGACAAGCTCCAAAGTAAATTGTCTCGTTTTAAGACACTGAATAATGGCGAGAAATTTCCAGAGCGCCGCACGCATTGCTGGGCTGCACATAGTGAAAGAGGCCGTGCACATGGGGGTAGCACCACCATGCACGTCCGCGCGGTAGCTGCCAAAACATTTCCCACAACAAAAGAACAAAGGGTCCTCCAACTGTACTTTGCTTTGGCACCACTTCTCACAGACAGATCGGGCTTCTTTTTGGGTTAATTGCTTATGTATTGCTGTCTTAAACGCAATCACCTCCCCAACAACAGACACAGCCGCTAGTTTTTGTACAAAACCATCATTTTCAGCTCGTAATACTGAATGACATTGGAAGGACGCTCATCTCAGTCTTCTTTATCTTCTTTCCCAACATATAAACTGATGAAAAGGCCAGAAATCAAAGCATCTCAGACATTCTCTGAACTTTAATCACACCGCTTGCTAATTAATCTGTTTCTACGCAGAAAAGAGGAATGATCGATGATAAAAGGTATCGCTCTGGCTCACAAATGATTCAATTTCAACCTGAAAATCTCAGGGTTGAATAAGCAAATGCAAAGAAAAGACTTATTTAGGAAAGTGGGTGCAAACAACAGAGTGGATGCTGCTGAGATAACCAAAGGTCAACCGCCAAAGTGCATTAGCTCATCAACCGGTGCGAATCCAGAGTTGCCAGCGACCTTGTGCATGCAGCTGATCGGCTTCTTCTGAAAAAACAAATGAGTCACCTCAAGAGGGGAGAAAAGAGTTTTGTTCCTTTGATTGCAGCTTCAGGCAAAAGCAGACGTGGATGAGTTTTTGTTTCTTTTGAAGATCTGACCTCGCCTTCAGACTTATTTCAGTCCCGCTCCCCAGAAGCTGGCAGCTCACTGTGAGAGGAAACCTCCCTCCTCCACCTCCTTTTCATCCCACCATCAATTGCTGGTAAATCTTACCTGAGACCTTAAACAGCAGGTTGTGCATCTCGAACTTTTACAGCCGCGTGGAAGCAAAGACCCTGAAGTAATAAAACGGTTCACCTATGAAGGTTACGTGTCTTAATCATCTGGAAAAACCTCCAAGTCAGACCCCGAAATGTCATGGCTTATAGGCTGTCGGCCTGATTATAGCTACAAAAATGTCAAAAAACCATTTGACGTTCTGCTCCATGTCTCAGTTATCTCAGAGATGGGGAAAGCTCCAGTGAGAAGATCTTTTGGTATTTTCTGATCTCCTGCCAGTTGAAAGTTATCTGGTTTAATCTCACTGTCCTCTATGAACAGATTTCCCATTTAAAAACAAGGGCACAAGAAATGTTGTGTTCTGACTCCTACTTCTTCTCCCTCTCCTTCTTGGTTTAAATTCTCTTTAAAAATCAGAATGGATCTTTCAGAAAAAAGGCTGCAAAAGAAAACTGACGTTTCTAAAGCCAAACCGAGCGTCTGCAAGTGTCGGCGCATCGTGCACACCTCCACATATCCGCACAAACTCACCCGCATAAATCAGAGACATTCTGAGGGCTGCGAGAGAGGACTGTTCCCGGCCATTAGCCAAATTACACAAAAGCTCAAGGCCGTGTCCTTTTCCCATCCTTAAATCTCCCTGCCTCCTCAAAATGAGAAAAAAAAATGGGGTGGGGGGAGAGCGGATGAAGAGCGGCTCTGTGAAAAGAAGCCAAACATTAGAAGCTGGTGCAGCATCTGGATAACAGTAGGGCCGGGAGACGACGGTAGAGAGAGCGGATGGTAGAGCCAGGTAACGCTTCTAATCTCAAATAAAGCTGATCAGACTCTAACATCCAGCGGCTCAGAGTGACACTCATAGACTCGTGAACATTGAATAAAGAAAACCCAACTGCGTAGAAACTAAATGACCGAAGAAACGCGGCCATTTGCTCAGCCTGCACTGGGTATGGGCGGCAGCTGTGGCTGGAAGGAGCTCAGCTGGACGACACAGCGGTCAGCAGGCGGTGAAAAAGGGACTGAGCCCAGTTCAAATGCTGCGGAACACACAAAGTGCTGGAATATTTGAGCTTTACCTGAATATTCTCGCCTTCTGTGAGTTTACAGGTCAGTTCTACTCAAACCCAGAGGGAAAAGTTGCATCTCAGTACGTTTTTGTAGAAAAATAAAAGAAATAAAATCCTTTTTCTCATTCAGTTTAAAAGGTTTGAACTTCAGGAAGAGCCAATTTAGGTTAGTTTCTAAATGGTCATGGCACTGTCATCTTGTGATTTCAAAAATCGATGGATCCTTAAAAGGTTAGCAGAAATGATCATGCATTCATGTATATATCCACCCTGCATTTATTGGCCTTTTTAGTTTCGTTTTCCAGTCAAGGTTGTGCTTTTTTCCCTTTTTAATGGGCTCTTATGCAGCTTTGAAGCATCAAGGTTAAAGTGGATCCAGGAGAAAATTGGTATCAAACGATCAACCTTCCAAATAGCAGACGGCTGACCTACCTCCTCAGCTTTGGCAGCTAATCTGAATTATTAGTGAATAATCTTTTTTATTCTTTTAATAAAATACAACAGTTACCAAGTCATTTTCCTGTCAAATGACCTCAGGTCTCTAAACATTTGAGCAACTGCTGGATAAACAACGGAGAGCACAAAGTTAGTCTGTTTTACATGATCTGCTTCTCTTTATATTAGAATTGAAGTAGCTAATGTTTGATACTTTTGCTTAAAGAGCAGCTTTAAATTATAAAAAAAACTATTTGGCGGTGGCATGAAATTTTCAAAGAACGACTCAAAATACAAAAGATAGAAGAAATGTCAACAAGGATTTAAGAAATATGCATGACAATCCTAAAAAAAAGAGCAGAATCCAGGGGCTGAGCAGTGAAATCCTGGGTCAGAAGGACAGTTTACTGTGGGAGCTCCATATCAGAACAGCTGGCTGAAAACAGCTGTTTGTTTACACATGATAAGTGTGGGCCTGATTCTTATTTATATCCAAAACACAGATTCTCAGAACACATTAA